TTACTTTGACCTGACCTGTGACGTCATCGATGACCTCGAGGTCAATGACATTAGGCTTCGCTCAACAATATTTCCAGGGCTACCAGGGGCCGTTTGAATTTTGACAATCGGCCCAGTAGTTTCGGAGTTAGGAGCCCCCCCCCCCCCCCCCCCCACTGTAACGTGCTGTAACGTGCTGTGGGGCGCGTTAGAGCACATACCCCAGTGAGGCGTGGGTTAACAAATAAAAAAACACGTTGATTTCCGACGCTGGGAAATGCCCGCAACGATACCCACCCCACCACCCTTCCCCTACCCGGTCCAACAGGGTCTCAAGGAAATTCAACAACATGAACCGAAACAAAGGCTGCGATCTTTGCTGGAAATGGCACTCGTGAGATAAGTATTATTATGCTGAAGATACAACGACTTACTTGTTATTTCCGAGTATCCTCCACCGTCAGCTACGCTAACCACCCACACAATCACCGTTCAAATATTTAAAACCACGGAGCACCTTCACAACGCCGGCGCGCGGCCGGAACTGACATGGCGGCGCCGCTGCAGCAGAGTCAGACGCACGTGGATTGTTAGTAAGGGTGTAGTGTTGTCATGGTGTTGCCATGGTATACCTTACCATAGCAGCAGAAGCACACCCAGGGAACTGTTGCAAGAAATTTCTGGCCTTTCGTCCATAAAACTATTAATTGCTCAGGGTCTCAGCTAGTCCTTGGATGACGCTCCTTCCAACATATCAAAAATTGGCAAACACCTCTATGGAAAGGAGGAGACTTGATCGCCGAATTCACCTGCTGGATCCGCCCGTGGAAAGGTTGATTTTACTATGGTAGGGAATATTAGCTTACGAGGGTATCTACTAGCCTCAGGTGGTTACCACCTTGTAAACTGGGGTACAAAACCACCCCTGATAAACGTAACCATGGTAATATCAACATGTCAAGGCAGGATAGTATTCAGCACCATAGTAGGCTGGTAGTAATATGATGGTAGGCTGATGGTAAAATTTACCAAAGCTAGTAACTTAGTAAATTGATGGTAAAAACTTTTTTCAGTGAACAGGGCAGAGCACAGCAACTTAGGGCGAGGCAGGGCACGGGCCTGAGGGCGATACAACGCATAAGGCTTAATGGCAGAATAGGGCACAGGGTCTAAGGGCAGGGCAATGCACATGAGGCCTGGAAGCAGAACATGACAGGACAGGGCCTGAGGCAGGGCAAGGCATTAGGCTCGAGGATGGGCGCGGGGCCGGGGCATGAGGGCATGGGAAGGCACAAGGCCTGATGGCAGGGCAGGGCACAGTACCTGAAGACAAGGCAGCGGCACGGGGTCTGATGGCAGGACGTGTCACAAGGCTTGAGGGCAGAGAAGGGCACGGGGCCTCAAACTAGGGTAGGGCAGGGCACGGGGCCAAAAGACTGGAAGGCAGCGCATCAAATTTCCAGGCAGAATATATAAAGTATCGTGTTTGAGGGCAGGGCAGAGCGGGGCACAGGGCCTGAATGCAGAGCAGGGCACAGGGCCTGAATGCAGAGCAGGGCACAGGGCCTGAAGAAAGGGCAGGGCAAGGTACAAGACCTAAGGACAGGGCACTGGGCAGGGCACATATCCTAGGGGTATAGTAGGGAAGAACATAATAAGGTGTATGACCAAGGGTAGGGCAGGGCACAAGGACTGGAGAGGGCATGTATGTGCTTAGGTACATAGTAAATCAGGGCACAAAGCAATCGGAAAGCCAACATCTTTTACACAGTAAAAGACCGAGGCATGTTACTTATTTTTGCTCGCACTTTTCGGCTGAAACCGTGGCATTTCAGTGTGGGACGCAGTGGTCCAAATTTCGCGAGGGCTACGTCCCAAAGGCAGGGGGCTGCGTCCCAAAATGGGACGCAGTCAGTATGTTAAAATATGCCCTGCTCCGAGGGTTGGCAAAGTTGCCAAGTTGCCCCCACCCCCAAACGCCAAGTCTGCTACCGCCCCTGCATTCAGATGCATCCATTGTAAAAAATAACTTGCACTGCAGTGATTGGGGGCTGGGGCACTGGCTGCTAGCAAGTTTTTTTTTCCGGGAAACCGAAGTGGTAGTTCCTACCGGACGTCTGACCGGACCTTTATTTTTGCATTTGCTTCTGGGTGGGCAAATCAACGCCACTGGGTGGGCAATTGTGGTGACTGGGTAGGCATTTGCCCACCCAGTGGGTATGTTAGAGGAGGCCCTGCCAATCGTCGCTCAACTAGGGCTAAACTACGGCTGTCCGGAGCTCGCAGAGCGGGCATACCTCCGGCAGAGCATGGGCTTTAGTCGGCGTATTTGTGTCATACGCCGACTTTAGCCCAAGCCCTAGCCGACTTTAGCCCGACTAAAAATCTCGGGCAATCCGCACTTGAGCCTGCTTGGGCCCGGAGCAAAATTGCTGGCTGGGGTAGAGCTTAACCCTCGCCGACACAGGCCATTTTGAGTCCTTCGACGGCACAAGGGGGGGGGGGTTGGTACGACCCCCCCCCTCGCGTTTGGCCCCTGATTGAGCTAGAGCTTCGCGGAAAAAACGAGCGTGTTGCCCGTCACGAGAGGAAGCCGATGATACCCAATTTTAAGGTCCTAGGTCATCGGGTGACCTTCCAGGTCAGGTCAATGACCCGAAAACCGGGAAAATCGGGACCTGTTAGAAAGTCGTAAAGTGTGGCTGCTATGTGGTTTTCCGGGGTGCTGATCACGAATATCGTGTTAGTTTTGATCAGAGATGATGTTTTTAAGCATTTAGACCAGGTCAGGTCAGGTCAGGTCAGGTCAACCGGTAGGGGTTGTGACGGGTATTCGTAATACGTGTCAACCGCCTCGGATAGCTTCGTAACATGTTACGAAGGCACCAAAACTACTTCGTAAATGTTCAAATGGTTGCTTAATTCTAATTCAGCTCCAAAAACTAGCCTAGAAACATGTAAAACTCGAAAAAGTGAACGAGGTCACCCGAGGTCACCAAAGGTCAATGACCTGACCTGACCTTCAGGTGACCTTGACACCCACCCTAATGCATGGGAGCAACATCAAATCACATGTTTGAACGTTTGAAACCACGAAAAGCTTGCAAACGCGCGGCTAATGCGAGCCGACATGCGCCGAACCGCGATTTCGGCCAAACATGGTCACAGAAAAGAGGTCACAGGTCAAAGGTCATTGGGGTCAGGGTCATGAAATTTTCAGGGTATGTGTAAAATTGATCAATGCGAGGGTACTGAAAGTTTCGTCGCGATCGGCCGCTTTTTATGCGAGTTATTCGCGAAAAACCTTAGGGGGGTTGCATCAACCCCCCTGTGCCGGCGAGGGTTAATGAGCTGGCGCGCCGTCCTGCATGAAATTCAGGCAACTAAAGATACCTACCTACCTACAAGTAGTTTGTATTAACCCGCGCGGGGCTGGGGTCTCCAGCCGAACGCGCGGGGCTGGGGGGGGAAATTTTACCCCTCCCCCCTGTTATCTCCCGAACTAATGGTCCGATTTGGAAAATTCAAACGCCAATCGAAAGCTCTCATCACGAACAACTAAAAACATGTACTTAATTTAAAGTTTGAGGTCAAGGTCAAGGTCAGGTCAAGGGTACAAATTGCAAGTTTCTACAGTATCGGCCTTGCACCGTAGTTGCCGAAGAATGGAGTCATGAACTGAGACTGATCGCCCAAAACGTGTTCTTAGGCTACCAAGACAATAATCGTTGCATACGATATCATTCAGAGGTCAAGGTCAAGGTCAGGTCAGGTCAGGTCAGGTCACCAAAAAACAAAATATAGAAAAGGGCATGTGCGACACATGTTTTATGGGTCAGTTTACTCATAGAATTCAATAGGCACACTCAATAAGTGATATGGACCACCTCTGGATGAATTTCAGGTCGAGGTCAGGTCAAGGTCAGGTCAAGCTGAGGTCAAATTTTGAAGTTGGTTGTTAAGGCCTAAAAAGGTGTCTATCTGATGCAGTTTTTCACGGCGAATCGAATGGTGCTATTTTTGTTTCCGTACGAGATCTAGAACTTCCAAAAAAGTCATTTTTCAAAAAAAATTGTGTGTCGTGACGTCATAAAATTTTGAATAACTCCCACATTTTTGAACCGATTCTTCTAAAAATTGGTATGTAGGTGCACATAGACCACTTCTCTGACATATATTCCGGTTTTTTCGATAGACTCAAAATTTTGGATTTTATAATCATTTTCCAAAAAAAGTCAGTTTTTTGAAGAAAAAATGGCCAAAATCCAAAATTTAAAAAAAACGAGATAGCCATTTGATAGACAAAGTAGAATTACGTATAACCTTTTTGTAACGTCTTGATTCCTTTAAAAATGAAGATGTTAGCGGCGTTTGAAATTTTGCCGTTTTTGAGGCGAAAATGGCGAACATGACGTCACTAAACCGTCAACTTCTCAAAAATTTTCCGACGGATTTCGCTCAACTTTTCAGGGAACGTGTCAAATTGATGTAAGAAAAGGTACTGTAAGTTTGGCTGCGCTGCGCGCCGCCGTTTTTGAGATATTGCAAATATTCGCGAGAGGGGGGGTAAATTTACCCCCCCCAGCCCCGCGCGGGTTAATTGACTTTTGGGGAACGGGTCCAGCTGGTTCCGATTCCAATTAAGACCGGGTCCGACCATGGCTCTAGAAATGTCCAGCCGGGTCTGGGTCACTCTGTAGGTACCTACCTACGGCCGGTGAAAAGGCGTAACTTACGGTTTCGGCTCCATCATCTGGCAGAGGCTCATAAGTTGTAGAATAATAGGCATTAGGCAATAGCTCCTATTGGCGAAAGCTGTGAGGGTACTTTTTGAGGTCACTTAGGTCATTTAAAACATTGAGAATTAGTAGCAAAACTGTGTTTAGCTAATCGACTGGTTGCATTTTATTACATATTTTTTGTAGGAGTCTTTGTGTCATAGAATAGCAAAAAGAGAAGCAGTAAAGTAGCGTTGTCACTTTAGCACGCCTTGCGCCGATCATTGGACTGACGCAAACTGACGCACATGTGTGCCGCTTTCATCTAATGTTGAATATTGGACGTTTTATTCATATTTATTTTACGTACATTGATAGTATATAGAGCCTTGGCAAATATTATCATTAAAATATTTCAGGTGAGCCCCTGTCCCTGTGTAAGTGTGTGTTAGCAGTATTGGCTTTCATCTGAACGTTTTGATAAGGGATTTCACGCGCTGCTTCAGCTTTGTAAAATAAAAATGAAAATTCGAAGGAATAATGAGTAGGTAGCGCCGAACCGTGTAAAACGCCCAGGGTAGGTAAAACGCCCCATGCCGTTATGACCTTACCTTACCTTACCTTAAAGAAGGGACCCTCCCACCTTCAAAAAAGATAATGAATTGGCATGAAAGTGATGTCGCTCGGTTTAGAAAGAGCGAAAATGAATATATACCTACCAAATTTCATCGAAAAATATGCACAGGTTTTCAAGATATTAGACTTTTACTTTTGTTTACTTTTTGGGATCTCCGCTGTTCCTAGCAACGTTATTTGAAAGTGTGGCATTTGTTGCATGCAAAGCAGCATATACCACTGCGTGCTACCAAACGTTTTAGTGAAATATTTAAAAATCGTTAATCTCCGCTGACGTCACAAATTCTAAGGGGGCAGTCCAATGCATTAGCCCCTTAGAATCCGAAAACTGCAAGTTTGAAATTTGATATCTCAGAATTAAAACATTTTTTGATGTTTTGAATGCCCAAACCGTTATTTTCAGGCCATGGCCACCAATTTGGCTATCTCAACTCAAAACTAATGTTAAGGTGGGATGGTCACTTTAATTTGATAGGAATTTAGAGGCGACTTGGCACTTGGTCTGTAGGGAACCATTCTCATCGAGCTCTTGACATATTTGACCTTTCTAACTCCTATTAGGTATGTTGTAGGTACTTGATGTTTGGGTATATGTCAAGATAAGGTTCAATCTACAGTTGTGGCGCTTTTGATACAGATATGAAACAGCATAAATTTTAGGTTGTAAGTTGGTAGGTTTGATGGTTGTAACTTGTAGGTAAGTAGGTAAGATTAGGTCAGGTTTGATTATGTTATTTCCTTTTATTTTTGAGACATGTAAGTATCAATTTTTGATTCAGGATGTCAAATGATATGATATTGTAAAAAAATTGTCCTTAAAATCTTTTAAGGACTTTATCTTGACATTTACCGATGTTTGCCCAGTGGCCTGGGCAGCTACCTTACTTGCCCCCAGCATGCCAGTTTTGGGGAGCGTTAAGATTTTGTCACTTACCTTTCTGACAACTTCTTCGCATGACCATTTACCATGGCGTATGGTCTTTTGCAGATCTCATTTTCCTTCAGTGACTGGTCCATGATCCTGACACTTTTTTATCCCTGGCTTTGAGATCTGCAAATTGCTTTTCAAGGGCTGCCTGCTGGTCCTTCAGGACATTGACACAATTGTTTCCTTCCTTTTATAAACATTACAGGTGAAGCCAGTGCTGTTGAAGCAAAATGCTCCGCTAAAAATGCAAAAAATGCAAAATTTTATTCTCCGGGACCAGGACCAAAATTCAAGGTTCCAACATTGCTGCTGTATCAGTCTCAGAATTTTGTTAGTGGAGCCCACATCTGGCAGCAGTACGGGCAGCACACACAGTTGCACCTCATCACTGCCAGATCATCGCTAAGTTTATATGATTCTGCCAGATGTCTATGTTTTGAGGATAATTCTGATAAGGCAGTATTCTATAAAAGTAGTGTTGTTTAGCCAGGATATTGAGGGGGAAAATTCAAGCCAAATATAAAATTGATATCTCAAACAAGAACATCCTGCAGAATGTGTCTTGTACCTTACCAAAATATAGCAACTTAGTGTCTCCAGAACTATGCTAGTCTCTTTGAACCCAATCCAACAGGTTATGCACCTGCCCCCAATAGCTGAGACCCTTCTCGCACTGCGGCAGGCTCGGTTGGTGGCATGGACGACAGTAGCGTCAGCGAGGGTGTCGAGGAGGCGCGCGAGGCCACGGAGAGTCTGCTGGGCGCGCTCTCGCCGGCGGCCGCCGACGACGGTGCCCGGAGCGCGGCCAGCAGCCCGATCGGGCCGGCGGCCGTGCCCGAGTCGCCGCCCGCCACGCCGGCGGCCGCCACGCCGCCCGAGTCGCCGCCGCCGGCGCCGCAGACGCCCGGCTCGCCGCCCGAGTCGCCGCCGCAGAGCCCGGCCGCGCCGCCGGCGCCGCCGGCGCGCCGCTCCACGCCGCTGACACAGGAGACGCTGAACCTCACCATCGATAATGACCTGGACTTTGAGGCCGAGGCGCCCGAGCCGGCCGGCGAGTGCGAGGCGCTGCCGACCGACGCCGCGGACACGGGCCGGGACGGAGACGGAGACGGAGACGGGGACCGGGACGGAGACGGAGACGGAGACGGGGAGGACGGCGAGTGCGCCGACGACGATGAGGTCCCCGCCGGCCGGAGTGGGCCGTCGGGCGGCGCGCGGCTCGACGACGACGACTCGCTGGAGGAGGGCGAGATCTCGGACGACGAGGACAAGAACCTGCGCAACGAGCCCAAGTCCATCTGCCGCTTCTTCAACAAGGGCCAGTGCACATGGGGCATCAGCTGCCGGTGAGCGCGCCGCCGTGCAGCCGGCGCGGCGCGGGGCGGGGCCGGGCCACTGACGGGCGCGGGATGGCTGGCGGTAGGCGGGCGGAAGGGTGGGCTGATGCTGCGATTGACATGAAACTTCGTATACCCACTACATTAATTTCTACTATCTGTGAGCTTTTTTGTCTGTTTCAGTCGAAACAGGGGTTATGGATCGATTTTTTTGACGTCGCAACATAAGGAACAAAGTTTCTCGGTCTCATCAAGACGTATTTTTATTGGAAACCCGCAACAAGCTTCGAATTACAGCATAACTTGGATTTTGAAATCAAAATTATTTACTCATACTATTCAAATAGCTTTCTTTTTGCTGCAAAAAATGTCCTTGGCATCTCCTTTTTATAGTTTATAAGAAGGAAACGGCTGTATCCCGGCAGTTGCTGGGGCATTTCGCCACCCGCCGTTTGCTGAGGAGGGGGGGGGGGCGTTAAACGCCCCCAGCCGATAGCTCGAAAACCAATAGGCGCAGTGAAACGCACGAGGCGGCCCCTCAGTCATGGGCGCTCGGCTGAGGGCTTATTCAAACGCCGCGTGATTTTTTTTCTATCGCCAACTAGTGTCAGTATCTTTTTTTTCATCTGCAGATTTATCCACCCTGGTGTGACAGACAAGGGCAACTACAACATGTTTGCGCCGGCCAAGCCGCCTCCGCCGCCCAAACCATCAGACGAGGAAGAGGAGCAGAAGAAGAAAGAAGAAGAAAAGGATAAGGACAAAGAAAAAGCCGAGGATAAGAATAAGGATAAAGATGATGAAGATAAGGTAGTAATTAGTATGCTTCCAAAGGAATTACAAATATCAATTCATTGGCTAAAACTTTAACTATATTGTGGGTGACAGGTTAGCCAGTGAGCATTGTAGATAATAGGCCATGTCGTCAATGTTACTGCTATGTTGGGTAGTTGAGTGGCAGACTCGGGCAAATAACTCCCTCTCCTAGCATTTTAGCTGCTGAATAGCGTGATTTTTCATAGAACTTTTCCAGCTTTTCTTATCATTTGCCAAGTGTAGCAGGTCCAAAGAAATGTTACTCTGTCTACGGTCTACCATGTGAACAGCATAGGATGTATTTAGCGTTTCAGCCGACTGTGGCTGCGTTGTCGGCCTGTCTGAGTGGCCGGTAGTCGGCTGGTCGGCGGCCCTGGGAGCGCCGTGCCGTCTGCGACCGCTCGGTGACCGGCAATCTGTGTTGCAGCGCGCGCCGCCGCCGCCGCCGCCGCCGGAGCCGGCGCCCCGGCCGGGGCCCGGCTTCGAGACCGCCTGGGAGCGCGCCATGAGGGAGGCCAAAGAGCGCGTCCGGAAGGCCTCCAAGCGGCGCCAGACAGACGTCGATTTCGAGGAGAAGAAGATGAACCTGAGCCTGGCGCAGGCCGAGTTCGACAAGGAGAACGACTATTACACGCGTCCGGCGAGCCCTACCGTCAAGGAGGACGCGTACCGCCGCCGGGGGTGAGCCGGCCGCCGGCCCAGCGCGCGCGCCCGCCCGACCGACCAGTCATTCTTTGTCCGGTGACCGCGAGTAACCAGAGTAACTCACAGTGGGACAGTGTCCCGTTGGTTAGGACCGCTAGGCGCCGCCGGGGCGAGACGTGCGCGCGCGCGAGAGAGAGAGAGGACGCCGCCGCCGGGCGGTGGTCAGCCGGTCCGAACTGCACCAGGTGAGTGGCGGGCACTGCCGACAGGCGGCCGCACCGGGCGACTCTGCCGCGCCGCGCTCCACTACTTGCTTTGAACGGGAGCCGCAGCGCTGGCCAGTTAATCAGTAACTGTCTTGGCTTACTTTTACATGTCAGTGACAGCCCGCTGACGTAGCCGAATGATTTCTCGGTCCGTTGGGACCGGGATGTTGTCCTTTCGATGTTCAGACATAGGCATGGCCTTTGTTCCCGTCGGGCGCCGTCGCGGCTGGTCAGCCGTGGACTGGGAGCGTGGCGCCTCCCCCTCCCCCGTCTCCCCTCCGCCCGTCTGACCGCCACCGTCTGTCGCCGGGCAGGTTCGTCGATCCGTACGACCCGTACGACCCGTACGAGCCGCGGCGCCGCTCGCCGCCGCCGGAGGTGTACCGGGTGGCGCCGGCGCCGCCGTACCCGCCGCGGCGGCTGCTGCCGGGCCGGCCGCCGCGGCCCGAGCTGCCGCCGCTGGGCGCGCCCTACCTGGCCGGCGGACCGCCCATGTTCCGCGGCCGGCCGCCGCCCGGCCCGTACGGCCCGGCTCCGGGATACCCGCCGGCCGAGCCGCCGCGGCCGGGCCGCGCTCCGTTCCGCGGCCGCGTGGCGCCGCCGCACCCGGGCTACCCGGCGGGCCCGCCGCGCCGCCGGCCCGCCTCCCGCGAACGGCTCAGCGAGGAGCGCCGCTTCGGAGCGTCGCCGCCGCCGGAGCGCAGCTGGAAGGCGGAACGGTCAGTCGGCCGGCCCACAGCGGCAACGGGCGGGAGCGTCGTCTTGGGTGATGCGCAGAGAGTTTCTGACGTATTTCTGTTAATGCTCACTATTTCTGTTGCAGCTTCTGTCAAACCGGTTACGGCCTTTGTGTCGTCCTTGTCTTGCAGTATTTTTAAGGCTGAAGTAACTGCGGAGATGATTGTATGATATCCCAGTGTTGTGATGCTCATAAATGGTCCACATCACCGTGAAAGTACGGCGTAATTTCACCTCTGTAGCGGCTGGTGATAACCAGAAGGGGCGGCAGTGCGGTGTGTTGGTGCGGCCGTGTGTGACCGGCGCCCCGGTGCCGCCCGCCCCATCCGGTCCGTCGCGCGGCGTCTGACCGGCGCCCCGGCCCCGTCCGGCCCGTCCCCTGTGCACAGGTACCGGGAGGTGGCCACCGCGCGCCGAGGCAAGGGCGACGAGTTCGTCGACCCGTGGATGCGCGCCAAGTCGCCCAAGGGCGGCCGCCGGCGGCGCAGCTACTCGTCCGGCTCGTCGGCGCGCTCCTTGTGAGTGCTGCCTCCTCCCTCGTCCGCAGTGTTTGCTCCTCCCCGTCCGCTGTTTGTCAGTGTTTGTTCCTTTCCCGTCCGCTGTATGTCATTGTTTGTTCCTTCCTCTGCCGTTGTATGTTGTCAGTGTTTGCTCTCCCTCATCCCCTTTTTTAGTGTTTGTTCCTTCCCCGTCCGATGTATGTTGTCACTGTCAGTGTTTGTTCCTTCCTCGTCCGTTGTATGTTGTCAGTGTTTGTTCCTTCCTCGTGTGGGGCGTTCCACGACAAATCGACAAGTGCCCTGCACCCTCATATTTTATTTTTTGCTTAAAAATGGTCTAATGGGTTGTGATGGGCGGGGAAGCCAGCTGTGGCAAGGATTTTTTTCTTCGAACAACGGTTTCCGAGATATAGCCTCTGGCAATTCCTGGAGTTCGCGCTGCAGCCCTATGTTTGGCGGCCTATAACTCAGAAACTATTGGTTTTTTTACGATAAAAACTTTATATGGTTCAACTCACAATCAACCAACAAACATTTTGGCTATCTCGGATTTTCAATTTTTGAAAATTTTGATCACGTGACCTTTTGTCCTATTTTTCGAAGAGTGACCTTGATACTTTCCCCACTGAAAGTTGCAATTTTGTCTGATGACGATTAAAGCCTTATCGATTGTCATTCATATGCGATAATAAAAAAGTGGTTATCGCCCTGCGTTGACCTCAGGTCAGGTCATTTTTATGACCTGTCCATTATTACGAGCGGGAGCGACAGCGAGATCTCGAGAATAAAGCAAGATAGCGACAAGCGGTAAACGGTAAAGGGTACACACGGATAAGGTCTATAATTTTACTAAGGTCATTTTCAGGTCAGGTCAAAGATGACGTCACAGGAGCTAAAAGGAAGTCAAAATAGCGGCACTATACCATATTTATGTACATATTGTGGCGGTCACACTTCGTCCTCCCCTCTCTGCGCCCGCGCGACCGCCCCTGCGCGCGGCCGGCCGGACGACCGTCCGCCGGCTAACCTCTGCCCCGGGGCGGAAGGTCACGACCCTGGCCCGCCCCGCCCGGCCGAGCGCCGCGCGGGCCCGACAGTTTACTGCGAGTCGTCAAGGTGAGTGCGCGCAACACGTGGTGGCAGCGGAAAAGTGCCGGCCATGGCTATGGCGAAGAACTATCGCTTACCGGAGTTTGACGGCAGTGGTAGCGTGAAGACATGGATTAGCAAGATGGAAGTGATTGCCCGCGCTTGTAACTGGGACACTACGAAAACGGAGCCGACGGCACCCAACGACGTAACCACGGCGGTGATGGCCCTCCCAGCGATCACCGGCCGAGCGTTCGACTTTGTGATGCGCCTCTCAGATGACGATCGGAACAGCTGGAGGCGACTGTGCGAAAAGCTGAAAGCCGAGTTCGACGCACCCGGACTTACGGTGCAATACGCATTGGAATTTCATCAGCGAATTCGGGCACCCGGTGAATCACTGGCGACGTTCCTATACGATCTGGAAACGCTGTGCGCCCGTGCATACCCCGAGTGGGAGGACACCACGTACCGCCAACGCCTGGTGAAGGATCGGTTCCTGATGGGGATCGGAGACAAGTCGCGAAAACATATTCTTTCATTCTACCAGCCGACGTGGTCGACCGAGGAGGTTCTCCTGGAGGCGAGGAAGCTGGAGCAGATCGAGACGTCGGCAGGAGGTGGTGCCGCCGTAGGTGCCGTCCATGGCCCTCCGAAAGGAGACCAGTCGGACAGCTGGAGCACTGGCTCCCGTCCCAACCCCAGCGACACTTCTGCGTTGTCAGCACTAACCAGTAGGATCCAGATGATGGAAGAGCAGATGCAGGCGTGCCGTGTGTTCCGTCCCAGCCGCGACTATGGCCGACCTTCCAACAGACGCCGTACGCCGAGCCGCCGGAGGAATGAGGGCTGTTTCAACTGTGGTGAATACTCCCACTGGCGCTCCGAGTGTCCGTACCTGCATCCCGCGGACCGGCGTTCGGGAAACGGCAGCGGGCCGAGGAAGATGTGAGCCGCCGCTCCTCGGTCCCCGCTGTGGTAGCCTCTTCTAAGGCGGCTCGCACGACCCCGCTGATCCAGGGCACCATCGATGGCGTCCGCGTCACGTGGCTGGCTGATACTGGCAGTGACGTCACCTTCGTCACCAGCAGCTGTCCGGCGGTAAGGCGCAAGGCGTTCCGGCCCCCCGCGCACCCTGCCTTGGCCCCAGTGACCATTGATGGCACGCCGCTGAAGGTGAGGGGAACTGTTGATGCGACCATTGTGTGTGGCCACCTGCCGGCGCAACGTCACACAATACTGATCATTGACAGTGTGAATACGGAGTGCGTGCTCGGCAATGATTTTTTGTCCCTGTACGGTGAAGTGGCACTCGACTTCGTGCGCATGACAATGAGGATGACCGAACCTTCCACGGCCGACAGACATGCGCCCAGCAGCGGGGGCGGGCCCGGTGAGAGGCCGGTGCAGCCCAGCGGCCCAGCTGTGATGGCGGACGCAGGGAGCCGCTGCGCCAGGACCGATGCTCCTGCCTGGCCAGCAGCGGTCAGCTCACCGGCCGAGGACGACGGACACCCGGTTGAGCTCGCAGCGGACGTCACGGTTCCCGCAGCGTCTGAGGTGCTGTTGATGGGCAGGGTACTGGCCGGCGCTCGGTGGGTGCCTGGGCAGCACATCAGCCTGGTCGAAGACGGGAAGTTCACACAGCGCTACGGGGACAGCCTATGTGTCTCAAACTCTGTGGACGTTATCAGGGCTGACAGCGTGGTCCAGTTGCGACTATGCAATCCAGGCCAGAGTGATGTGAAATTGTACAGGTCGTGCACCGTCGCCCGATGTACAGGCTACGTGGACCCGCCGGCGGTGCGCGCCTCGACGCTGAGTGGCCTCAGTCAGGCGGAGCGGGAGGCAAGAGATCGACGGCTGAAGGACACCGTACGCAGCAAGGTGGCTGAGGCGGACGTAACGGACGAGCAGCGCCGAGCTCTGGCGGCGGTGCTTCTTCAACGCAGCGACGCGTTCTCTGTGCAGGGCGAGGTCGGCATGTGTGACCTGGTGAAGCACCGCATACGGCTCAAAGACCCGTGTCAGACGCCCATCCGGATTCCTCCGCGCCGGACTGACTGGGAGACCCGACGGAAGACCGAGGAATTCTGCGATGATCTTCTACGGAAAGGACTCATCCGCAAGAGCCACAGCCCCTGGAGCGCGCCTGTCGTCATGTGCAAGAAGAAGGACGGCAGCAGCCGACTGACAATCGATTATCGAGGCCTCAACAAGGTTACTGAGTTCGACGCGCACCCACTCGTCCGGATCGACGATGCTCTGGACTGTCTACAGGACAACAGCTTCTTCACCACACTCGACCTGGCCAGCGGATACTGGCAGTTCAAGATGGACGAGCGCGACATCGAGAAGACGGCGTTCTCGACGCACAGTGGCCACTACGAGTGGCTGAGAATGCCTATGGGACAGAAGAACTCCGGTGCAACCCTGCAGATGGCGCTCCAGATGCTTCTGGCGGACTCCAACTGGCTGTACACGCTGTCGTACGTGGACGACGTCATCCTCTGGTCGAGGGATTTCGACACTCACCTGAAACGACTGGACGAAATCCTGGGGAAGTTCGCGGACGCCAGTCTGCTGCTGAAGCTGGAGAAGTGCAGCTTCGCCCAGAGGGAAGTGCGCTACCTGGGGTACCTGGTGACCCAGCTCGGAATCCGGCCAGACCCAGCCAAGCTAAAGGCCGTGAGTGACTACCCGACACCAACAACGCATGAGGAGCTGCAGAGGTTCGTTGGCCTCACATCTTACTACCGACGCTTCTGTCAGAAGTATGCCGACATCGCTAAGCCGCTGCTGAAACTCTTGGAGAGGAAGGCTGACCGTTCCTTCAAGAACGTCTTCAAGTGGACTACCGAGTGTGACGGTGCCTTCCAACGCCTGAGGGACGTTCTCGTGACTGCTCCAGTCCTGGTGTACCCCAAGATGGACAGCGACTTTGAGCTGACCACTGATGCGTCTGATGTTGGGATTTCAGCGATCCTGTCTCAGAACGGCCGACCCGTTGCATTTGCTAGCAGAGTGCTGACCAAGGCTGAACGGAACTACTCTACTACGGAGAAGGAGTGTTTGGGACTGGTCTGGGCCGTAGAGCACTTCAGGGTCTACATCTACGGGAGACGATGTGTCCTCAGAACGGACCACAACCCGCTGTTGGCCCTGGCCTCATCGAACAAATTGAAGGGACGCCTTGCCAGATGGGCTCTGAAGCTCTCGGAGTTTGAGCTCGACATAGAGCACGTTGCTGGGAAGTCCATTCCTCACGCTGACGCGCTGTCCCGTGCGCCGGTCAGCGCGGTGCAACTAACAGACACGGCTCTGGTGACGCCGGAGGAGCAGGAGAGGGACGACACGCTGCGCTACGTCAAGGACGGCATCGCGACCGGCAGGCTGGCTCAGACTGCCCCGGAGGGAGCACGGCAGTTGTGGAGAAGGAGAGGCACGTTGAGGATCGAAGCCGGCCTGCTGATTAACAGACACAAGTTTCGCGGTCGAGAACGCGATCAAATTGTCGTGCCGGCCCACCTGGTACCTGCAGTACTGAGGCTAGCGCACGACGAGCCAATGTCGGGTCACCAGGGAGGAAGGCGGACGCTGCACAGAGTAAAAGACCGGTTTTTCTGGAGCTCAATGATCTCAGACGTCCTCGACTGGTGCCATACATGTCAAACATGCCTTCATGTAAAGCAGGCGGACCAACGCGACAGGGCCCCACACCAACCGCTTCCGGTTCCACTGCGGCCATGGGATTTCGTGTCTATCGACATCTGCGGACCTTTCTCGCCCAGCCGGAGGGGTAACAAGTACATACTTGTCGTCACAGACCAGGCAACGAAATGGACAGAAGCGTTCCCGATGGAGCGTCAGGATGCCGAGAGCGTCTGCAAGATTGTTATGGACGAGATCATCTGCCGTTTCGGTGTTATGCGTCAGATTCACTCGGATCAAGGGAAGCAGTTCGAGTCTGAGCTCTTCCGTAAGCTATGCGCAAGATTTGGGATAAAGAAAAGCCGAACATCCTCCTATCACCCACAGGGGAACCCGCAAGCAGAGCGGTTCATGAGAACACTCGGCAACATGCTCCGGGCCTACGTGTCAGAGAACCATGCTGACTGGGACGAGAGGCTCCCGGACGTCATGGCTGCATACCGAACAAGCGTACACGACACAACAGGTCAGACGCCTCACATGCTGCTGCTCGGCTACGAGGCCACAACTCCAACGGAACTCGCAGCAGGTCGCACCCGAGACGACAGTCAGATGGGGTCACGACTGCGTGAGCTTGACGAGCTGCGCCACCAAGTGAAGGAGAAGGTGGAAACCAGCAGGCGTGACCACCGGCAGAAGCAAACTGTCAGATTCCGTCAACACGCTCCGGGGGACTTTGTAATGGTGTCTAACATGAGCAGAAAAGTTGGTGTCAGTCCAAAGCTTTCCAACAAGTGGATTGGACCGTTCGAGGTCCTCCAACTGAAGAGCGAGGTAACCTACCGCGTAAAGGAAGTCAACGGCAGGAAACGTTCTATGATCGTGCATCACGACCGCCTGCGTGCCTGTCCGATGAGGCCGGACCGACTGCTCCCCGTGGACAGCGGTCCGGACAGCGGCAGTTCAACCCCCGTCCGGCCGGCGCCGGCGCCGGCACGTCGGACTGACGAGGCCGGACTGAGCTCGTTCGTGGACCTGACAGTGGAGGAGCCGAGCGACAGCGCGGTACCGGACGAATCTCGCGAACTGGAAGCTGCTGAAAACGCACCTGCTGAAGAGCCTGCTGAATCGGAGCCTTGTTCTCCGCCCGAACTGAGCCGCTACCCGCAACGCCGTTGCCGGCCTCCGCAGTGGCTCACCTACGAGAGGATGTAGCCTGAAGTGGGGAGGGAGGTGTGTGGCGGTCACACTTCGTCCTCCCCTCTCTGCGCCCGCGCGACCGCCCCTGCGCGCGGCCGGCCGGACGACCGTCCGCCGGCTAACCTCTGCCCCGGGGCGGAAGGTCACGACCCTGGCCCGCCCCGCCCGGCCGAGCGCCGCGCGGGCCCGACAGTTTACTGCGAGTCGTCAAGGTGAGTGCGCTCAACACGTTATGAAGTTTTTCTCGAATAACTTTCAAGGTATCCCAGCTAGGAACAAACTAATAGCACCATCGTGATCCTCTCGTCGATCCGCATCGAAACATATGTATGTTGACCTCGAAAGGTCGAAAAGTCAAAAGTTGACCTTAGATCACGTGACCTAAGGTCAACTTTTGACCTTTCGACCTTTTGAGGTCAACATACATATGTTTCGATGCGGATCGACGAGAGGATCACGATGGTGCTATTAGTTTGTTCCTAGCTGGGATACCTTGAAAGTTATTCGAGAAAAACTTCATATATATATGTATAGTGCCGCTATTTTGACTTCCTTTTAGCTCCTGTGACGTCATCTTTGACCTGACCTGAAAATGACCTTAGTAAAATTATAGACCTTATCCGTGTGTACCCTTTACCGTTTACCGCTTGTCGCTATCTTGCTAAATTTATTCTCGAGATCTCGCTGTCGCTCCCGCTCGTAATAATGGACAGGTCATAAAAATGACCTGACCTGAGGTCAACGCAGGGCGATAACCACTTTTTTTACTATCGCGTATGAATGACAATCGATAAGGCTTTAATCGTCATCAGACAAAATTGCAACTTTCAGTGGGGAAAATATCAAGGTCACTTTTCGAAAAATAGGACAAAAGGTCACGTGATCAAAATTTTCAAAAATTGAAAATCCGAGATAGCCAAAATGTTTGTTGGTTGATTGTGAGTTGAACCATATGAAGTTTTATCCTAAAAAAACTAATAGTTTCTGAGTTATAGGCCGCCAAACATAGGGCTGCAGCGCGAACTCCAAGAATTGCCCGAGGCTATATCTCGGAAACCGTTGTTCGAAGAAAAAAATCCTTGCCACAGCTGGCTTCCCCGCCCATCACAACCCCTTACACCAGTTTTCAATGAAGAATAAAATATGAGGGTGCAAATTTAATTTTTTATTTGTCGATTTGTCGTGGAACGCCCCGTGTGCTGTTTGTCAGTGTTTGTTCCTTCCTCGTCCGCTGTTTTTCAGTGTTTGCTCTCCCTCGTCCGCTGATTGTCAGTGTTTGTTACTTCCTCTTCCTCTGTTTGTCAGTGTTTCCTCATTGTCCGCTGTTTGTTGTCAGTGTTTGCTCCTTCCCCGTTCGCTGTTTGTTAGTGTTTCCCCCTCCGCGTCCGCTGTTTGTAGCCAGTGTTTGCTCCTTCCTCGTTCGCTGTATCCTTGCTTTGGGTGTCCCAGTGGTAGGTTTCGGCGCCACTATAGTCGGTTTATTTAACGATGGCGGGTGGCTTAAAGCGCACCAATGAATATGGCACGAGATGAGCGGTAGGATTGAACAGAATGGCCCTGTTCATGAACCCCGGCGGTCGCTGCGGCCAGCCGGGTTGTTACGTCACGAAAAGGGGTGGGGCTCATGTAGTATGACGAATGTATGACGTCACCTTGCTGCGGCCGCTGCGATCTCTGCGGCCGCAATCCAGCGACCGCCGGTCCGCAAGAAAACTAATTGCACTGAACTTGGCGCACTGAAGTCAAATAGGCGCAAGCCGTGTTGTCATGGAGACGATTTTGTAAACAAATTATCTAGCGGTGTGCGTCAGTTGTAAACAATTGTCGGAAACTATTTCGGCAGCAGACGCTGTTCATGGAACGCTGCTGCGGCCGAGTGAGTGATGACGTTTCAAAAATGGGCGAGGCATAGAACCTGCGGCCGGCCGCAGCGACCGCAGACTTCATGAACAGGGCCAAGGTTAAAATGTAAAATCAAGAGGAAGTTGATATTTTTAGATGAACGGCGTTAAAAGGTATTGATGCTTCTCGTGCGCCGCTTTCCACCAAAGCGCTAAAAGCGATCCGCCATCGTTACATGGCGCCCCATGACACGTCCTAGCCCCGGACCGAAGAAATTCTTGGATTTGCCCATGGTGAGGGTTTCTAGGAGCTTAAGTCTAATCGTTTCGATCACGACTAACTTTTCCCAAAAGTTTTACCTTCTTCCAATGTATTCCAATGTTAGGCCTAAACTATCCATTGCCGAATCGGAATCTGTTTGGTAATCGTAAGTCGTAACAATCCACTATGAATTGGGTACCCGATTGACAACTTAAATAATGGTGCCTTTTGTCCCCGTCTGTCTGTACCGCTGTCTGTACCGCTGTGTGTACCGTCTGTCTGTACCGCTGTGTGTAGGGGAAGTTGGGGGAACGCCGAAGACTTTTTTTTCTGACGTCCGTAGCACGCAAGGTAGACAACATAAGCTATTCTTGTTGGCGTCATTCGAGAGGCCAGTCTTTTGCCTTTCAAACATACCAGGCGCATTTGATGAATTCGCATACCGTTAAGCGCACAAACTAAAAATATCAAAGAAGTGACTTTTTCGGCGTTGCCCCGGACTGCGGGGAAAGCCGAAAATGGGAGAAATGATCTACGGGGAATGCCGACATTGATGTTTTGCCATTTTATCTCAAACTTTATCCAGAATTGATCAAAGCTGACACGCGTTTTAAGAGCTTGAGGACGCGGTGCACCCTGGAAGTTATAATTGTGTGATATAATAAGAACATGCCAGGTAAATCATTCCTTATAGGTAACAGGCCGTTGTGTCGGTTGAAAGTGTAATTTGTGTGACTAAAAATACGCGTTGCTATTCTACAGCAGTAAAGTCCACGTAGCGTGCTTTTAACACGTGCGTAATCGCACGTTTTCGGCATTACCCCAGCCTGCCATACTTTCATTTGCAGGCCCATAACTTTTCAACGTGCTGTATAAATTTCAAATAGGCAGCACACTTATGCAAAGACATGCTAAAGATTACTTGACCGAATTGGCCAGACAAACGGTAGCATAATGAGTAAGAAATGCAGCTTCAAAGGCGCATGTAGTACAAGGGAAACGTACCTTGAAAACGCTCTTGGCGCCCTCACAGTCGAAGTATTCCGAATGACGACTCGTAACAAACATGCGATAATTGTAGTCACTTAAGCTTCAGAGCATCACTGACAGGTGGCATCCATGTCTTACGGTTTTCGAAATATCTCGAATTTCGGCTTTGCCCCAACTCCGGCATTGCCCCAACTTCCCCTACCGCTGTCTGTACCGCTGTCTGTACCGTTGTCTATACCGCTGTGTGTACCGTTGTCTATACCGCTGTGTGTACCGCCGTCTATACCGTTGTCTGTACCGCTGTCTGTACCGCTGTGTGTACCGCTGTCTGTACCGCCGTCTGTACCGCTGTGTGTACCGCCGCCTGCGGCCCGGTGTTCCCACGCCGCCGTGCCCGCTCCGGCAGCTCCTCCCGCAGTCGGTCCAGCTCGTTCTCGTCGGCCAGCCGGTCGGGCAGCAGTCGCAGCTCGTCTCGCAGCCGGTCCGGCAGCAGCGGCTCGCGATCGCCGCGACCCGGCCGGCGCAAGGGTGAGTTAATAGTGATACACAGACTGGTCTCGGCCGGCGCAGGGGTGAGTTGATATACACAGACTGGTCTCGGCCGGCGCAGAGGTGAGTTGACACACAGACTGGTCTCGGCCGGCGCAGGGGTGAGTTGACACACAGACTGGTCTCGGCCGGCGCAGGGGTGAGTTAACACACAGACTGGTCTCGGCCGGCGCAGGGGTGAGTTGACAGACACAGACTGGTCTCGGCCGGCGCAGGGGTGAGTTGACACACAGTCACTGGTCTCGGCCGGCGCAGGGGTGAGTTAATAGTGACACACAGACACTGGTCTCGGCCGGCGCAGGGGTGAGTTGACACACAGACACTGGTCTCGGCCGGCGGAGGGGTGAGTTAATAGTGACTTACAGACACTGGTCTCGGCCGTCGCAGGGGTGAGTTGACACACAGACTCTGGTCTCGGCCGGCGCAGGGGTGAGTTGACACACGGACTGGTCTCGGCCGACGCAGGGGTGAGTTGATATACAGTCACTGGTCTCGGCCGGCGCAGGGGTGAGTTAACAGACACAGACTGGTCTCGGCCGGCGCAGGGGTGAGTTGACACACAGTCACTGGTCTCGGCCGGCGCAGGGGGTGAGATGATATACACAGTCACTGGTCTCGGCCGGCGCAGGGGTGAGTTGATACACAGACTGGTCTCGGCTGGCGCAGGGGTGAGTTGACACACACAGACTGGTCTCTGCCGGCGCAGGGGTGAGTTGATACACAGTCACTGGTCTCGGCCGGCGCGCGGGGATGGAGTTGACACACAGTCACTGGTCTCGGCCGGCGCAGGGATGAGTTAACAGACTAGTCTGCCGCTGGGGTTGGAGTTGCAACTGAACTGACTGAGCGGGGAGGAGGGGTGGACTCACAGGGAGGCAGGAGGAGGGGCGGACTGAGCGGGGAGGAGGGGCGGACTGAGCGGGGAGCATAGGCGGACTCACAGGGAGGGGAGGAGGGGCGGACTGAGCGGGGAGGAGGGACGGACTGAAAGGGGAGGAGGGGCGGACTCACAGGGAGGGGAGGAGGGGCGGACTGAAAGGGGAGGAGGGGCGGACTGAGCGGGGAGGATAGGCGGACTCACAGGGAGGGGAGGAGGGGCGGACTGAGCGGGGAGGAGGGGCGGACTGAGCGGGGAGCATAAGCGGACTCACAGGGAGGGGAGGAGGGGCGGACTGAGCGGGGAGGAGGGACGGACTGAAAGGGGAGGAGGGGCGGACTCACAGGGAGGGGAGGAGGGGCGGACTGAAAGGGGAGGAGGGGCGGACTGAGCGGGGAGGATAGGCGGACTCACAGGGAGCGGAGGAGGGGCGGACTGAGCGGGGAGGAGGGGTGGACTGAGCGGGGAGGATAGGCGGACTCACAGGGAGGGGAGGAGGGGCGGACTGAGCGGGGAGGAGGGGTGGACTGAGCGGGGAGGATAGGTGGACTCACAGGGAGGGGAGGAGGGGCGGACTGAGCGGGGAGGAGGGGCGGACTGAGCGGGGAGCATAGGCGGACTCACAGGGAGGGGAGGAGGGGCGGACTGAGCGGGGAGGAGGGACGGACTGAAAGGGGAGGAGGGGCGGACTCACAGGGAGCGGAGGAGGGGCGGACTGAGAGGGGAGGAGGGGTGGACTGAGCGGGGAGGATAGGCGGACTCACAGGGAGGGGAGGAGGGGCGGACTGAGCGGGGAGGAGGGGTGGACTGAGCGGGGAGGAGGGACGGTTACAGGTTACATTGTCATACCTTGGGCAGCAATATGCTGTCGAACCACTATAGCCTGGGCTTTGTTTGTGACACGCTGGTGATCCGCCGGGGCTGAGCCCATCGGACCTGGCCACCCAGCCCGCTAAAGCCACCCAGCCCGCTAAAGTCCGCCACCCGCCATCGGCCTGCTTCTGGTGTGGCCCATGGGGAAGTTCGGATAAGGTGCCCGTTCGGCCAGGAATAGGGGGTTTAGGTGTGGAGAAGAATTTGACTATCCTGAGGACGGGAACGACGGAACGGAGCTGCCTGAGCTCAGGAATTTTTACTTCTAATGTGCTATTGCTGCCACCCAAATATCAGTCTGCTCTTATCATTTACTTTAATTTGCCGTTTAGTGTTCAGTGTTTCCTTTTTTTATTGATAAAAGCTATATAGGCGTCGATATCGACCTTCTCAAATAGGCCTTGGCGGATCTGTCATACTATAAGAAAAAAAAAAACAAGACACCGCCCAGCGGCCGGTGCGACCGATGTTGGTATGAGCTGCCCCGCCCCTAACAGTGTGACCTGACCCCGCCCCAGACAGTGTGACCTGACCCCGCCCCAAACAGTGTGACCTGACCCCGTTCGCCTGACGCTGACCCGCCGTCGGCAGTGTCGTCGGCCGGCCGCGGCGGCCGGTACCCGTCGCACACGATGGGCGCCATGCTGTCGGCGGACTCTGGCGCGGCCCGGCACCGCGACAAGGAGCGCGAGCGGCCCGCAGCCGCCGGCGAGTTCGATTCGCGCACCGGGCGCGACCCTTCGCTGCGCGCCGGTCGCGAGGCGCGCCCGCCGCCGCCACCACCACCACCGCCACCGCCGCCGCCGCCGCCACCTGCGGCCCGCGCGGCCAGGGCGCCGGGCCGCGAGCCCGAGCCGCGGTCAGCGCCGCACAGGGAGGCGGAGGGCCGCGAGTCGCGGCCGGCGCCGCCCGGCAGAGGCGACGAGTCGCGAGCGGGCCGGCATCGGCCGGCGGGGCGCCCGGCGCCCGAGAGCGCCGGTCGGCCGGGCCGCGCCGACACCAAGAGCGGCTCCCGGCCGGCGGCAGCGCCGGACGCCGGCCGGGGCGCGGCGCGCGCCGCCGTCCAGTCCCGGGACAAGCCGGAGAGGGCGCCGAGCCGGCCGGGCCGCGCGCCGGCGCCGGCCGGCCGGAAGGCGGCGCCGGCGCCGCGCCGCCGCCGGTCTCGCTCGCTGTCCGACTCGTCCGACTCGGACTCGTCCCTGTCCCGCTCGCCGTCCCGCTCCCGGTCCCGCTCCCGGTCGCGGACACGGGGACGCGGCTGGCGCCGCTCCCGCTCGCGCTCGCTGAGCACGAGCATCTCGTCTCGCTCGTCCCGCTCGTCGTCTGGCTCGAGCCGCTCCCCGTCCCGAACACCGTCACCGAGCTACAGGAAAGGTGAGCGCCCGGCGGCGCAGCCGGCTCCGCGCAGAATACCGCCGGGCGTGGGGGACTTTCTGTTATTTCTGGTACAAGCCATCACTTGTTTTATTAGAAGATATTGACACATATTATAATGTACTTCACCGTTTGCCCACTCACCCTGTTCCGCGCGCACCGAGGCTGTCTGTACCTACAGAGACTAATCCCGTTTGTATACTTTCCAGGACGGCGGCCTCCAGCGGGACGGAAACCGCCGGCCGCCGGCCACCGGGGCTCCGTGTCGCCGCCCGCCGCCGCTCCGCCCACACCGCCGCCCCCGCCCCCTCCGCCGCCGCCGGCCGCGGCGTCCTCGGCCGTGAGGTCGCCGCCGGCGGCCGCCCGCGCCGCCCCGGCCGGCTACGAGCCGCAGCAAAACCGGCGGCCCATCGACGCACTGGCGGTGAGCGACGGACGCGCACCGGGTCTGAGGGGACGCATACCGGGTCTGAGGGACGCATACCGGGTCTGGCCGGGGACGTATACCGGGTCTGAGGGGGACGCATACCGGGTCTGAAGGGACGCGCACCGGGTCTGAGGGACGCATACCGGGTCTGAGGGACGCATACCGGGTCTGAGGGGACGTATACCGGGTCTGAGAAGGACTGACTGGGGTCTGAGGGGACGGAACGGGTCTTAGGGGGTGGTCCGGGGTCTAAGGGTCTGTGGAGGAAGAACCGGGATGACACCTTTGCTTCGTCGCTCGGTTTTCAAGTAACCCGCCTGGAAAAGATATCCTTATCTTGCACTCGGAGCCATGAAGAATCCTTTATGTGTTCTAATGCAAGTGGAGGGACACCCTGACCCGGCCCGCCTTCTACCATCAGCTGACAATTTGTCTGTCCGTCTGTGTGTGTGTTTGTGGCAAGACGCCTCAGTCCTCCCCTCCGGCACCCAGCCACCAACTGACCCCTGCTATCCGTGTGTCAGGACGCCCAGCACCCCCCGCCCCCCGCCTCCGGCACCCAGCCACCAACTGACCCCTTTACCCATGTGTCAGGACGCCCATCCCCCTCCCCTACGGCACCCAGTCACCAACTGACCCCTGCTATCCGTGTGTCTGTCTGTGTGCTCCAGGACGCGGGCAAGAAGAAGCAGATAAAGCTGACACTGCGCGGCCCGTCGTCGGTACAGCCCAGCCAGCGGGTGGTGGACCGGCTCGGCCTGCACGACACGGACGACTCGGAGCCCGAGTCGGCCGCGCCGCCGGCCGGCAGCGCCCGCAAGCGCGCCGCCGACCAGCCGGCGGCCGGCGCGCGGCCCGCCAAGGTGCCGGCGGTGGCCGCCGGCCCGGCCGCCGCCGCCGCCTCCACCGCCCGGCCCACGCCGGTGCCGCGGCCCGTCACCAAAAAGCCGTCCACCTCGCGGCGCGACGAGCTGATGAAGCAGCTCAAGGCCGTCGAGGACGCCATCTCCAAGAAGCGCACCAAGCTGGACGTGCCCAAGAAGGTGTAGCGCCGCTGGCCGGCCTCGGGGAGGTGTTTGTGTGTCTGTGTGTGTGGCCGGGGAGCGGAGCGCTGGTCGCCGGCCCGGGCGACAGCGGGGCCCTGGCCGGTGTACCGGCGCCGGCCGGGCCGAGCTGCGGGCGCCGGCCGGGTCCCAGTAACGGACGGTGTGCGGGCCCCGGCCGGGTCCCAGTAACGGACGGTGTGCGGGCGCCGGCCGGGCCGAGCTGTGGGCGCCGGCCGGGTCCCAGTAACGGCCGGTGTGCCAGCGCCGGTCGGGCCGAGCTGTCCGGCGACTGCCGTCCAGCGGAGGCGCCAGAGACGGACGCCGGGCCGCTGATTTCATCGATCATACCCGGCACGCCTTGTCCGGCGCGATTTAGTGTGAACTCCGTGTTCTCGAATACGGAGGGCACAGACACGAACCAGGGACTGCACATTCGGGGGAGGGGGGAGGGGGCTCTTGTAGACCAACACATCGCTCGCTGTATCCTGTTGGCTACATTTTATCGTGAATAGAGTTCCCGGTGGACAGTGGCCGGTGTGTCGGTGGAGGTCCGGGCGCGCTCCGCGGCGCGGTGTCCGGTGGAGGTCTGCCTCGGGGCGCGGTGTGTCGGTGGAGGTCCGGGCGGGCTCCGCGGCTCAGTGTGGCTCCGGGCGGGCTCCAGGGCGCGGTGAGGCTGTGGGCGGGCTCCAGGGCGCGGTGAGGCTGTGGGCGGGCTCCAGGGCGCGGTGAGGCTGTGGGTGGGCTCCAGGGCGCGGTGAGGCTGTGGGTGGGCTCCAGGGCGCGGTGTGTCCGGTGGAGGTCCGGGCGGGCTCGATGTGGCTCCGTGCGGGCTCCGCGGCGCGGTGTGGGCCCGCTGTGGGCGGGCTCCGGGGCGCGGTGTCCGGTGGCAGAGACCGCCGACCGGTGCCAGCTGCGGCGACCCGTTCCGATGGTCGTTACCAGGGTCTTGGTCGCCCCTTGGACCCACGCCGGGCCGGTGTTTTTCCTACAATATCCTCGAAACCGTTATCATACACCAGCGCGTGTTGCTGGGGCGTGACGTCAGAGTGACGTTCAATTTTGATGCCAGGGTTCTGCGTAAATCGCTTTTGCTTTTACGAGACGTTCTTGACCGACGTAAACAAATTATAGTTCATTTGAGGCCTCTTCGAGAGAAACGATTCTGGCAAATGCTCGATGTCAAGCTTGTTATAGAAAAACGAAAAAGCCTAAATTAATGTCTTTTGGTCCCTAGAGTCCAAAGACATTAAATCGAATCATAGCACACACTAGCGCAAGAGCTGCGCGTTTCCGACGCTGTAGCTGCGTCAGAAGAGTTCACGATTTGTGCGCCGAGTTCGGCACTTAATCCCGAAATCTGGAAAATGAGCTGATCAAGTTCTCTGATGGCCTGCATTGTCTTGGTATGACAGACCTAAGCGATATCGACACCTTTTTTTAAACCCCACATCTGCTCTCCCGTGAATTTCCGGGAGGCACGAAAGATCTCCTTTTAAAAGTGTCCAATCGTCCGATCCTGATCAAATATGTGTGTTCGTAGGCCTGTTCTGGTATTGCTTTATCTGCCAAGACAGACAAACTCAAGAAAAATCGAGTGATTGTACCTTTTTTGAAGGTCTCTAACCAACTTGTCTGAAATTCACCGGAGAACAAATGTGGGGTTTAAAAAAAAGGTGTCGATATGATGGTGTTGGGAGTGCCCGCTGACAGCTGGCGAGGGACCCCTGGTGGGCGCGGGTGGACCGGTCTCCCGCTGCCGGTCTGCCCCTTCCGTCCCCCAGTCAGACGGCAGGACGCTCCGTAAAACCAGCGGAGCCGCTGCTCGGGATGTGTATTAGCGATCGGTTACAAAGGAGAGCAGATTGGCAGCGAACTCGGCGAATAGAACTGTGTGATAATACGCGGCGTACATGCGAAGGAGCGTACCCAGCCCAAGAAGGTTACGGCGAACAGAGCGCATGGTTTCGGCGCGGCAGTGTCCACGGTCTCCGGTGAGGTGCCGCTGAAAGTCGGGCGCCTGGCCTCTCCAGTCTCCAGTGCCGGACGAGGACCGTCTCCGAGTCCCAGAGGTCCCTGGCGGTCCCTCCCGCGGGAGCTGAGTGGAGCTGTGTGGGCGGCAGCGCGCTCTGCGTACTGTGTCCTGCGCCGGGCACTGCTGCGGGTGCCACAGCACCACAGCTCGGCGCCGCTCGGCAGCAGGCGGCGCTGAGCGGCAGCGGCCGGCTCAGGCGGTGGGCCGGTGCGGGCCGGACCACACGGCTCAGGCGGCGGGCCGGTGCGGGCCGGACCACACGGCTCAGGCGGTCCGGTGTGGGCCGGACCACACGGCTCAGGCGGTGGGCCGGTGCGGGCCGGACCACACGGCTCAGGCGGTGGGCCGGTGCGGGCCGGACCACACGGCTCAGGCGGTGGGCCGGTGCGGGCCGGACCACACGGCTCAGGCGGTGGGCCGGTGCGGGCCGGCGCAGGCCGGACCTCACGGCTCAGGCGGCGGGCCGGTGCGGGCCGCGGCCGGCGGCCAGCGCGGCCACGTAGCGCTGCTCCCACTGACGCAGGCTGTGCCCGGCGTGCCGTACCTGCTGGACGGCGGAGCGGGCCGGCTGGTCCGTCCTGGCGACACGACACCGGCGCCGTCACAGCTCCACACCGGGACGAGACGGGGGGGGGGGGACACACCGGCGCCGTCACAGCTCCACACAGGGACGAGACGGGGGGGACACACCGGCGGCGTCACAGCTCCACACCGGGACGGGGGAAGGGGGAAGGGTAGTGGCCCACACCGGGCCGGGATGGGGTAGGGGGACACACACCGGGCCGGGATGGGGGGCACACCGGCGGGACACGGTGGGCGGGGACACAATATCCTTCTCATCCTCTTTTGTTGTTTACTGGGGCTTTAGGCGGGGGGCACATCCTCACAACACAGAGCTGCTGCCTCGTATGGAGAGGTCCGATCGCCCCCTGAGTTTACGCTGTGCAGATAGTTGTAGTGCTTTGGTGGCTGAACAGTTCTAAAAGCAAAGGATGTTCGGACAAAAACAATATATATCACCTCTGGCTGCCAGAGGCCGGCACGTGCCACTATGCCCACGGGTACGGAATGACCAAATGATCAGGGTGTAATGCCTTCCTGAGACGGGGCACAAACTCCGAGATGGGACGCGGGAGGGGACACGGGGGAGAGAGCACATATGTACATCGCCGGCCGCAGCCGAAATGGTTGGAATGGACAGACACGCCCCCCACGAAATAAACACAATACGACCGGAATAAACACAACACAACTGCAAATAATATCCTTATCAGAAAGGTTATTGTGTTAGAACTCGATAAATTGATCCTGGCTGAATCGCTCGTTCACAGATATAACAAACAGCATCTCACAAACTGATAAAAAACATGTTCTAGACCTGTTTCCCCATTGCCCCGTCACCACATGTGCGACTGTATGTCCGTACTGCTGTACACCTGTACAGTGTGCGTGAACTGAAACTCCTCAGTACAGCCGCCTTCTGACTGACCAGTTGTGGAGCGCGCCGCGGGCCTCCCTCAGCGCGGCGCCCATCTGCGACATGTTGACAAACAGCCGCTCCAGCTGCGGCAGCAGGGTGCTGCGCTCGTGCTCCGTCTGACTCTGCACCCGGCGACAGCACTCTGCCAGACAGACAGTCACAGTCTGACTCTGCACCCGGCGGCAGCACTCTGCCAGACAGACAGTCACAGTCAGTCACAGTCTGACTCTGCACCCGGCGGCAACACTCTGCCAGACAGTCAGACAGTCACAGTCACAGTCTGACTCTGCACCCAGCGGCAGCACTCTGCCAGACAGTCAGACAGTCAGACGGTCACAGTCTGACTCTGCACACGGCGGCAGCACTCTGTCAGACAGACAGACAGACAGTCACAGTCACAGTCTGACTCTGCACCCGGCGGCAGCACTCTGCCAGACAGTCAGACAGTCACAGTCAGTCACAGTCTGACTCTGCACCCGGCGGCAGCACTCTGCCAGACAGTCAGACAGTCACAGTCTGATTCTACACCCGGCGGCAGCACTCTGCCAGACAGTCAGACAGTCACAGTCACAGTCTGACTCTGCACCCGGCTTCAGACAGTCACAGTCTGACTCTGCACCTGGCGGCAGCACTCTGCCAGACAGTCAGAAAGTCAGACAGTCACAGTCAGTCACAGTCTGACTCTGCACCCGGCGGCAGCACTCTGCCAGACAGTCAGACAGTCACAGACAGTCACAGTCTGACTCTGCACCCGACGGCAGCACTCTGCCAGACAGTCAGACAGACAGTCACAGTCAGTCACAGTCTGACTCTGCACCCCACATCCATCCACAGATCCCGGAGCCAGGACCCCCACAGCCGCCCGCACAGCCCGGAGCCGGGACGCCCACAGAGTCCGGACCCAGGACCCCCACACTCACCTTCCAGTCGGTCGGCCGGCACGGCGGTGTTCGCCAGCGTGTGGCGCAGCCGGCGGAGCGCGGCGGCGCGACGGTCGGCGCGCTGCTGCTGCCACAGCGCCTGCAGCCGCTCCAGCAGCTCGGCCTCGGCGCAGCGCAGGCGGCGAGAGAGGAGCGCCGGCGCCGGCCGGTACAGGGGCAGCTGCACAGACAGCAGCGGACGGCTGCCGGCGGAACGCACACAGACCGTCACAGCCGGCCGTACCCAGCGGCGGCATCTCACAGGACACAACCGCTCCCTTAGAGAGTACGGCTCTCGCGAGATTAAGAGGTAGGTTTTGCACTTTAAGATTTCCGGTTATATCTCAGAAACTAATCGATCTACGATGAAGCCATTTTACACGATCATGGCCGACTTGTGAACCAACAAGTCGATCGCATCTTCAACACTCAAAAGCTTAAGACGACGAAGATATAGTCTGAAGTACACTAAATTTTCTAGGTGCAAAACCTACCGTTGAAACCCGCGAGACCTGTACATTTCTTGTTGGGAAGCCAAAATTGAAAACGTACGGTTGTAGGAGTACAGCTACAACCTTCCGTCCTTACGGCCTGTGAGTCACAGTCAGTTACCTGGGAAAGCATCCTGTGACCCGTCGATGATCTGTGCTGCGGACAACCCTGCGCGCTGAACACCCAATCAGTCGCTCCCTGCGCCCCGAGCACCCAGTCAGCCGCGCCCCTGCGCGCGGCGCGGCGCCCTCACCCGTCCACGACGACCCAGCGTATATTGTCTGCCAGCAGGCGGCGGCCGGCCGAGTCGACCTCTGCGGCCGTCTGTGCGGCGGCGCGGCGCTGCGCCTCCTCCAGCTGAGAGAGCAGCGGGCGCAGCTGGCGCTGAGCCGCCGCCGCCGCGCGCTGCTGCGCCTGCCGGCTCAGCGCCACAGAGTCGCCCGCCAGCGATATCAGCAGCTGGATGTGGCTCTTGTTGCGCTCCTGGCCGGCCGGGAAAGGGGGTCCGTCAGCGTGCAGTGGCCGGAGCCGCGGCTCACGAACGCGACAAATTGGCAGCTAGATTACATCCGCGCAGTTTACGATCGCGTGTCCCTGTTTAGAGTTCCACATGGACCCGCAGTGGGCAGTACAGCGACACCACCGCACGGAGCGCGGCAGCCGGCGGAGCCCGAGCGGCTGGCACGGAGCGCGGCCGGCCGGCCCCACTCACGATCAGCTGCTGGTTACGCTGGATGGCGGCGTAGCGCTGCTCCAGTGCGGAGCGCGCGGCTCCCAGCGCCTCCACCTCGGCGCCGAGCTGGCGCGCCGCCGTCTCCAGGGCGGCCGCGCGGCCGCGCGCCTCGGCGGCGGCCAGGTGCGCCGGCCAGTCCACCGGAGCCTCCTCCTGCGCAGACCGCAGCACGGCGTGACCAACACCGGCCGAGCGGCCCACAGCCAACACAGACAGACGCGGCAAACACTGCCACACAAATACGCCGACTGGGGGTACATCGGACGCCGCGCCGGCCGGACAAAAGAGGTGTCACACGCCGCGCCGGCCGGACCAGTGAGGTGTCAGACGCCGCGCCGGCCGGACCAGTGAGGTGTCACACGCCGAGGCAGCGAGATACTAAAAAAAAAGATGTTAATGCACAGTCTTAGTTTCTAATCCGTTGCCATGTAACTTACAAAAAAATTATTGAAGGTGTTTAGTTTTATTTCCAAGCAAAAAGGAAACATTAGTGTGCAGCGGTCGGCGGCTGGCCGTCCGGTGTCTGACCTGGTGGCCGCAGCTGGCCAGCTGCTCCGTCAGCTGCAGCAGCTGGTGGCGCAGCCGGCGCGTCTCGCGCTGGGCGGTGACCTCGGTGACCCGCCAGGTGACGTGCAGTGCGTGCAGTTCGTCCACCGAGCGCTGGATCTTCTGCGTCACCGGGTCACCGCTGCCGGCGGACGGCGCACAGCTGCGGAGGGGGGGGGGGGGCGTCAGTGAATAGACGGCTCACTAGCAGCGTACGGACGGCAATGTAACTAGACAAGGCATCTATTCTCCACGGGTGTAGGGACGAGTCCCTCCTCCACCCAAACGCTGCCCTCAGTTCTCTGTGAGCGGCCCGCCCCTGCGCCGGCTGGTCACCTGGTCTCTGTGAGCCCTGTCTCGGCAGTGCTCTGAGCCCACCCCTGCGCCGGCTGGTCACCTGGTCTCTGTGAGCCCACCCCTGCGCCGGCTGGTCACCTGGTCTCTGTGAGCCCGCCCCTGCGCCGGCTGGCTGTGCACCGGCTGGTCACCTGGTCTCTGTGAGCGCGCCCCTGCGCCGGCTGATCACCTGGTCTGGCCGGCGGTCGGCGGCTCGGTGTCCGCCTGCAGTTTGCGCGCCAGCTGGAGTCCGGCGCGCTGCTGCAGGCCGGCCAGACTGCGCAGTATGTCGGCCGCCGCGTGCCGCGCCACCGTGGCCTGGATGGAGCGCTCAGCGCGCGCCAGAGAGTCGGCCGTGGGCGCGCGCTCCAGACACCGGTCGATGTGGCCCGCCAGCAGCTCCGTGGCCTCGCTGATCTGACGCTGCAGCAGCGCGGCCGGCCGAGGGAGAGAGAGCGCCGCCGGTCAGAACACGGGGCGCGGGGAGAGAGCGGTCAGAAGGAGGGGACAGCGAGGGAGGGAGCGAGAAAAACAGGGTTAGGGAGAATTAATGAAAGTGGAAGGACAGGTCTGAGATATGAAGAAACGAATGTGTTGATCAATCCGTGTGAGTAGCCACAAACCACATCACTGTGTCTCATAACACAGACCGTGTGTGTCTCACCATACAGACGGTGTGTCTCGTCATACAGTATGTCTTTCTATTCAGTGTGTCTCACCATACAGACGGTGTGTCTTACCACACAGTGTGTCTCCCCATACGGACGCCATACAGACTGTGGGTCTCGCCATGCAGTGTGCCTCATCATACAGACGGTGTGCCTCGCAATACAGTATATATTCTCACCATACAGTGTGTCTCACCATACAAAAGGTGTGTCTCACCCCACAGACAGCATGTCTCACCATACAATGTGTACGCCGGTGTGTGTCTCACCATGAAATCATATAGACAATATGTACGTCGGCATGTGTTTCTCACCATACAAAGTACAAACAGTGTATACGTCGGAGTGTGTTTACCATACAGGTGTGTCTCACCATACAATGCATACGTCCGTGTGTTTCACCATACAGACGTTGTGTGTCTGTCTCACCATACAGACGGTGTATATGCCTCACCATACAGACGGTGTGTGTGTGTGTGTCTGTGTGCCTCACCATACAGACGGTGTGTATGTCTCACCATACAGACGGTGTGTGTGTCGGCCGGCCGGCCGCCGTCCGTGCGCTCGCCGGCCAGCTGCGCCAGCCGGCCGGTCAGCGCCGCCGTTCCGCTGAGCTCGCGCTGACAGCGCGCCGAGTGCAGCCGGTGCGCGGCGGCCAGTCGCTGCTCGCGGCGGCACGCCTCGCGCCGCTCCAGCACCGACGAGCCTGCCGGCGGCGCGCACACTCTCAGCAGCCGCGCACCGCCACCGCCACCGGATCCGCCCCCCTCCCCCCCGGGCAGATACTCGGGCGGTATCTGGTCTGGTGTTACCCCGCAACCGGGTCAGATACTCGGGCGGTATCTGGCCTGGTGGTACCCCGCCACCGGTCGTCGGCAGAATGAATAGCGACTCCAGCCTGACACTCCTGACAATATGGCCTTACAGCAGTTGTGTGTAACAAAAAAAAAAGCATATGCTAGACAGTTCGCAAGGAGCCGAGTCAAAGTTAAGTTAAACCAAAATTTGGAGCGTAAAAGAACGATAGCAAAATCGTACCTTACTAATTTCGTTCCAGTCTTGCTAAGAAAGCATTTTCCGTCTAGCATTAAGACGGTGAAACATAAAAAAACGAACAACTTAAGTCACTACACTTACTTTTGCTGATGATTTCTTCTTCCAGCTTCATGATTTCGCTCTCTAGATGCTCAACACTGGAGTTGACCTGGCGAAGACTCTTTGTGAGCCGTTCCTTTTTCTTCTGCAGAGATTTCTCCTCAGGAGAAGACACCTGAAAAGCAAGAAACGGTGTCAGCAGGTGCACAGGAACGATAACATCATGGCATTAGACATGGCGTAATTATTGAATAAAACGACTGGGGGCAAGAAAACAAGGCATAATTCGTACTTTGTGTATTTTTGTATTTGTATTTGTATTTATTGCATACCATCATTAGGTCCGAAAACCCAATAATAGACGGAGTCAGACATATAAAAACAATAAATACGACACACATTGTTAAAATTCACACTGTATGGCGAACGAACACAGACACACACTTCATAAACCGAGAGCGCCTTCCAAAAATGTCCGCTCCAGGAGTCACCTGGTGCAGGCTATTAATCCGACGTGGTAGACGGCAAAACAATCCATCTTTGATGGTGCCTACTCTGGCGGCTGGGACATTCAGACAGGGCTGCGCGCGAGTTGCCCTGGCTGGGACAGCAAGTCCGAAGCTGCCCAGGATTTCCACGGAGTCAACACGGCCCCCGAAGACGCCATGTAGGAAGGCGAGGTCGTGTTGCGCCAGGCGCTGTTTGATAGTTAGAACGGCGAAGTGGAGCAATAGCTGTGCGTAGTCAAATGAGTTTGAAGGGCGATTAGAGTTAACAGCTAGCCAGATTAAAAACTTATGCTGGACCCTGTCCAGTCGCGCCATGTGAGTCACTGCGGCGCCCGACCAAATAACGCTGCCAAACTCCAAAACAGAACGAACGTGAGCGTTAAAGGCCGTAATAAGGGGAGCTGGCTCGAACCTGCGCCCTGTCCGCGCACGTGAGGTTTGGAGCGATCGCAGGTATGTTCCCAAGGCACGATTCGCCCTCCCAACGACGTCATCGATGTGAGAAGCAAAGTTCAATTTTGAGTCCAGAATAACGCCTAAATCACGCATCTCAGATACGCGATCCAGGGTGACATTGCCAATGAAGTATGACGTCAGGACAGGCTTTTTGCGCAGAGTAAAGGTAATAAACTTGCATTTTGCTGGGTTAAGTTTTAGTTTCCAAACGGTGGACCAAGAAGATAGGATGTCTAAATCGGCCTGAAGGGTGACAGCATCGTCGGGAGAGCGAATCCGCCTCAGCAGCTTCATGTCATCAGCGTACATCAGGCATGTCGATGAGATAAAGGACGGAACATCGTTGCAAAATAACACAAACAAGATCGGGCCACAGATACTGCCCTCCGGCACCCCCGACCCAACCGGCACCCAACTGGACGCCGTCCCGCTCAGCACCACGCGCTGCTCTCTCCCACATAGGTAGGACTCAAACCACCTCAGGGCAGCTCCAGACAGATTGTAGGAATGAAGTTTGTGAAGAAGGAGAGAATGGTTGACGCTGGTGAGAGCTGAGGAGTAATCCGTGTAGATAACATCTGTCTGGAGGCCATCGGCAATTGAGTCCCACAGCTGCTTAACGAGGCAGGCAAGGTTAGTAGTACAGGAGCGGCGCGGGAGGAAGCCGTGCTGGGCCGGAGAGATCACAGGTGAGACATGGACCATCAACTGGTCACACGTTACGCGTTCTAAAATTTTTGAGCAAATGGGCAGAAGCGATATTGGTCGATAGTTAAGCGGATCTTTTCGGCTGCCTTTTTTTGTGTACCTACCGGTGTGACGTGCGCGCGTTTCCAAGCTGAAGGAAATTTGCCCTGTTCGAATGATAGACGGCAAATTTTGGTCAGAGGGATCGAAAACTCTTCAGCGCACTCTTTTAAGATGCGGGCACTAAGGCCGTTTGGCCCACACGCCATGTGGACGCTTTGGGTCATCAATAAGTTAAGAACGGTGTCGTGATTGACCGAGAATCTGCTAAGAACGTCAATGAGGTACGATGTGACTTCCGGAAAACTATCGACCGTACCGTCGGAGAATTTTGAGGCAAAGACCCGACTGAAACACTCAGCCCGCTCGCGATCATCAGTAATATCGCGACCGTCAACTTTGAGGGCCGGCACAGTCCGTCCTGATGATTTAATTGACTTAAGAAGAGACCAGAAACGCTTGGAGTTGTCTCGAAAGTCGTCAATTATATGAAGAATATAGCTGCGATATTTAGCAATCACGGTCGACTTGAAAACCGATCTTTTCAGGGAGAAGTCAGCCGTATTTTCAGGTGTAGGCGAAACTTTGTTACGCCTGTGTGCTAGTTCCTTATCACGCAGTGCGCGCTTCACATCGCCATCAAACCACGGCGGGTATTTAGTCTTTAACCCTCGCCCGCACATGCCATTTTCCCATCCTAGAACGCACATGGGGGGGGGGGGTGGTTGCCACCCCCCCCCCCCGCGCCATTTCGTTCCTGTTGGAGATAGAGCTTAGCAGTAAAGACCAAAAAGATTCTTTGGGAAGAGACGAATCCAATGATACCCAGTTTTACCTTCTCAGGTCAGTCATTGACCTTCCAGGTCAGGTCAAACTAAAAAATGTTGCTGTTTTGGGTCACCGCTGGATATCAAGTGCGCTGCTTATCAAATACCGATGACGATGCTGTTTTCTGGTGCCAAGCCAGCTAGAACCTCTTTGTCACACTATCCGACCAGAATTTTGCTGCTGAGGTCATTTCAGGTCAAGTTAGGTCAAGGTCAATTATATGTGTTTGTATGTCTGTGTGTGTCTGTGTGTACACTGATGTGTGCACCGATTGTTTTTGGGTCCATATTACATGAAATCATGATCTGAGAAGCTTTTACCAAAAATGCAGTCAAAAAACTTCACAAAAAGTAAATTCAGCTTGCCTAAAACGCAATTATCTTAGATGACCTAGGTTGACCTTGACCCTGACCTTGACCCCTGCACATCGTCGAACAACATGTTCCATGTGGGAGGTAAGACTGGCAAAAAAGGCCGAAATCAGGGTGTCAAAAGCTCACAAGGCCCATGGCAAACGCAAGATGTTGAGAATTGACCATTTCGGTCATGACATGACCTGAAAAACAAGGTCATATCTCCGAAACAAAAAATCACAGAAACTTGAAATTTTCAGTGGACATCAAGAAAGGATAGACGAGCAGCTATACGAAAAATCAGCCTTCTAGCTCTAAAAATGTTGAGTGCAGAGCAGAAAGACTGCCTGGGGGGGAGGCAACCCCCCCCCCATGTGCGGGCGAGGGTTAAAGTCACTCGCGGGATGTGATCGGCTACGGCTGCCTCTGTTCGCTGATAAAATAAATCTACGGCCGCGTCCACCTCCAAACCATCTAGAACGTGCCGCGGTAAAAGACGTAAGCAGCGTTTGAGAGCGGGCCAGTCGGCCCGGCGGTAATTGAGGGCAGTGGACCGAGTTACCCGAGGGGCCGGCAGGCGGGACACGAGACACGTGACGACAGTGTGACGGTGATCGGAGTCGAAGAGCCCCTCGTCGACATCACACCGTGAAACAGACATATTTGTGAGCACTAAATCTAAGACGTTGTCCCCCGGGTCGGCTGCCGCACGTGTTGCCGTAGACCGCACTGGGCAACAGCATCCAGAAATGTCACGGCGCGGCCAGACCGGCGCGTCAACACAGGACGATCAGACGGTCGGCACCAATCAATCTCAGGGAGATTAAAGTCGCCGACCCATGAGAACGGAGCGCTCGGTAGCACAGACGCTGTTCATAACATTAACAAGTCTCACCACCGCTGCATCGTCATCAGGAGGTCGGTAGGCAGCGACGACAGTGACAACAGGAGAACACGCCATTAGGTCCATCACTAACACCTCACCAGCCTCTAATGTCGTGTGATAATAGAGCAAACAAAAGAAGCCAGGCCGCTGTTCGGCAGCTTTAACCCGCGCTCTGTGGTTGAACACCCCCTTGAATTTTTGGTTTGCGAATATCTCAAAAGCGGCGGAGACCGTTCAGGAGAGACGCTCTGCAAAACATATCGGCGTTATTTTTGACAAACATCTGACTTGGGAAGCACACGTTGACGTGACCGATATCGTTCACAATTGCACTGGCATCTCGGTTTCCGTCACCTGAGACATTTAAAAAAAAAAATCCTCCCGCAGAGGGCTCTGCTCTCAATAGTTCATAGTTTGGTGATCTCCCGAGTGTCTCACTGTATCACGGTTTATGGGAACGGATCATCTGCGAACGATACTCGGATGCTCAAGGTTGTCAATTTTGCAGCGCGTGTAGTGACCGGTCTTAGAAAATTTGATCACATCTCTCGAGCATGAAATCAGTTGGGTTTTACGGTGCTGCGGCAAATGTGTGATTTGTATACCTTGAAGCAAGTGCTGCTCGCATGATACTTATGAGTGGAGAACCGTCCGAACTGGCCTCACTCTTCCAGTGCTTTTCTGACGCGCGCGCTGTGACCGGCCCACCAGACAGGACGAACGTCTTCGGCCGCCGGCTTTCCGAACCGTGACCGGTCAGCGATCTTTTAGTTATCGAGCTGTGACGCTTCTCAACTGCCTCAATCGAGACCCAAACGCTGGGCCCGTCTGCTTTTAAGCGCGCTGCAAAGTCGCTGGTAATGCGGTAGTTTTACGTCTGTGCATATATGAGTGGTGTGTGCGTGTGTGTGTCTGTGTGCTGTGTACATTATTGTTTGCCTGCCTGCCATCCCTCCCACCTAATTGACATTTTGTTTTATCTATCTTACGTAACCCGCGCCGTCCTGGGGGGACTGGGGGGGGCTTTTACGCCCCACCCCCAGGTTTTTCGCGAATATCTCAAAAACGGCGGCGCACACCTATACATACATCTTTTCCACAGATGTTGTGAAAAGTTCAGACCCGGGTCGTTTAAGGTCAGGTCACCAGGTCCCGTCAAGTGACCTTTCCTCAGAAAAAGTTCAAAGGCTCGCTATAGCTACACCGACTGAACGATCACTTTGAAAACTACAAATGTACAAACTACAATCGGATTGTAGAATCTTTATGAAAAAGGACACTGGTGCAAGAAGAAGAAGCCAGCTTTAATATGCCCGTTGTTTGTATGGTAGTTTGTTTTGTGGCATGAAGTTGGAACTTAACCCGCGCGGGGCTGGGGTCTCCAGCCGAACGCGCGGGGCTGGGGGGGGGGGGTAAATTTACCCCCCCCCCCCCCCCTGTTATCTCCCGAACTAATGGTCCGATTTGGAAAATTCAAACGCCAATCGAAAGATCTCATCACGAACAACTAAAAACATGTACTTAATTTAAAGTTTGAGGTCAAGGTCAAGGTCAGGTCAAGGGTACAAATTGCAAGTTTCTACAGTATCGGCATTGCACCGTAGTTGCCGAAGAATGGAGTCATGGACTGAGACTGATCGCCAAAAACGTGTTCTTAGGCTACCAAGACAATATTCGTTGCATACAATTTCATTCAGAGGTCAAGGTCAAGGTCAGGTCAGGTCAGGTCAGGTCAGGTCACCAAAAAACAAAATATAGAAAAGGGCATGTGCGACACATGTTTTATGGGTCATTTTACTCATAGAATTCAATAGGGCACACTCAATAAGTGATATGGACCACCTCTGGATGGATTTCAGGTCGAGGTCAGGTCAATTGGTCAGGTCAAGTGAGGTCAAATTTTGAAGTTGGTTGTTAAGGCCTAAAAAGGTGTCTATCTGATGCAGTTTTTCACGGCGAATCGAATGGTGCTATTTTTGTTTCCGTACGAGGTCTAGAACTTCCAAAAGTCATTTTTCAAGAATTTTGTGTGTCGTGACGTCATAAAATTTTGAATAACTCCCACATTTTTGAACCGATTCTTCTAAAATTTGGTATGTAGGTGCACATAGACCACGTCTCTGACATATGTTCCGGTTTTTTCGATAGACTCTTTTCGATAGACTCAAAATTTTGGATTTTATAATTATTTTCCCAAAAAGTCAGTTTTTTTTTTAAATTTAGGCCAAAATCCAAAATTTTCAAAAACCGAGATAGCCATTTGATAGACAAAGTACAATTACGTGTAACCTTTTTTGTTACGTCTTGATTCCTTTAAAAATAAAGATGTTAGCGGCGTTTGAAATTTTGCCGTTTTTGAGGCGAAAATGGCGAACATGACGTCACTAAAACGTCAATTTCTCAAAAATTTCCGACGGATTTCGCTCAAATTTTCAGGGAACGTGTCAAATTGATGTAAGAAAAGGTACTGAAAGTTGCCGTTTTTGAGATATTGCAAAAATTCGCGAGGGGGGGTAAAATTTACCCCCCAGCCCCGCGCGGGTTAAAATTGAAGCATCCGAAAATGATCGATATTGATCGAAAACATGATGTTGATGAAAAAAAACAATAATAACTATATTAACCCGCGCCCCACTGGGGGGGGGGGGGGGCTATTCATAGCCCCCTCCCATTTTTCTGCAATAACTTTTAAACGGCTTGACGTATCGCCGCCTAACTTTCAGTACCTTCGGCTGCATCAATTTGACACCTTGTGTCAAAATTTGAACTTGGTATCTATCATAGGTCGGCCGGATATGACGTCAGAGTGACGTCATGTTCGGCCGATTTCGACGCAAAACCTTGAACCACGGGAATCGCCCCCAAGAGCTCAGTTTTTTTTAGCTAGATTTAATTTCTTTGCATGAGAGGACTCAAAATGGACTGCGCTATCAAACTGCTATCTCGGATTTTTAAAATTGTGAAATTTTTGAAAATAATCCATATTAAAATTCAAAATTTGTATTTTATCTTTTTTCAAAACCTTTTGACTTTTCGAGAAAAAAAAATAATTTTTTTTTTATAAATTTAGTCCGAACCTTTTGATGGGAGGGATTCACAAGGACAGAGCCACCGCTAAGCGAAGCTTGTTGCGATGACCCTGCCCTCTACCCTCCGATCGCGTAATTCCGATTCTATGGCAGAATTTAGAGTCCAAAGTTTAACGTGCGCACAAAGCCGCGCACGGCCGGTCCCCTCGCTGACTTCGCCTGGCTACGGCTTGCCACCAACCGCAACCATACCTGTCAGGAGGCCCATAAATGTCGAGCGCCCGTCGCGCTTCGAACCCGGACTGTCATAACCGGGAACGCGTGCTCTCACCTCGCGGAGTCCAACGCACTAACCAACTGAGCTACGGGACCGGCATATATATATTAGAACACATGCTTATGACTTACGCTAGCAAGTTTTAGCCAGATATCTTCCAAAATGGCCATGTTATACGCATTATAGCAAAAATTTCACAATTTTAAAATTTTCAAATTAATTTTTCAGTACGAATTTGACGTACCTACACCAATATAAATAGCACCATCGTGTTCCTGAGCTCAAACTGCATCCGACAGACATGTTCTTGTTGAAAAATTTCAACTTTAAAATTTGATTTTTTTTACCTGAAAGTGACCTGAGCTCAGCTATATTCAGATGAAATGGCCTCAAATGACACAGGCGACACCGAATTCGAAATCTATGGCCTAAATGGACCATAAAACATGTGTCACGTGACCGACTTATGATATAAGATTTCCGTGACCTGTGGTGACCTGACCCTGACCTGAAAATCAAAGTGCAAGTTTTGTACCCTCAGGGTATCTAAAGCATCTGTTCACGAGTGTGTAAACCAAAAATCAGCCTGATCTGACTTGTAAGACGGCAGCCAGAGCCCAAAATGTGAACAGGCCAAACATCGATAACTTTTACTTTGACCTGACCTGTGACGTCATCGGTGACCTGGAGGTCAATGAAATTTGGTTTCCTCAATCCAGTGTCCCAAAATTGCGTTTTGTCTGGGGTGTCAGAGGGGAAAATTACCCACCAAAAAGAGGGGAGAGAGTGGAAAACTGCTGATTCGATTAGATCCAAAAAGAGTGAGAAACGCCATAAAACATGGATTTTATTCTAGGATGTAGAATGTTTGATGCTAAACCGGGCATTCACACAACCGCTCTTTCTAGAGGTAAAAAAAAATCTAGGTTTTCTTGGTTGGGAGTGGAAAATTGTTCTTAAAAATTGGTGGTGAGAGTGGAAAATGGATTTCCTTTGAATGTCATTTCCCATCCAAATCGACAAATTTTGGGACATTGCCTCAACCAGTTTTTCCGGGTCTATCAGATGCCGTTTGAATTTTGACGATCGGCCCAGTAGTTTCAGAGTTAGGAGGGGGCTATGAATAGCCGGGCTATGAATAGCCCCCCCCCCCCCCCAGTAGGGCGCGTAACACACAGATCCCAGTGGGGCGCGGGTTAAGTTGAGAGAGGTCATTTTATCCAGATGCGGTGGTTTAACAATTATTTTTGCTAATTGACGGCCGCGTATCATCCGTCATTACATGGCGGTCGTCATAAACAAAAATAATTTCAAGAAGTAAACCATTGCATCTGGATGAAATCGCCTCCTCTTTCAACTTAACAATTTCTTTTTTTCATCAAAACTATGTTTTCGATCAATATTGATCATTGATCATCAATATTGATCAATGCACTTTTCTGCGGTGCTGTACTCTATTACGAGTTATGCGCCAGTTTGTCGAAAAGCTGTGTCATGCCCCCCCCCCCCGTCGCCCCACTCCCCACAAGTGGCAGCCGCCGCCGCACTCCCCTTCCGTGTGTGCCCGTCCAGCCCTCCTCCCCCCCCCCCCCGATCCCGGCCGTCGGGGCGGCACTGACCAGCCGTTTTCCGTGCCGGCCGCGACACAGCTGCAGGTTGCCCTTGACGGCGTGGATGCTGTGCGGTCCGTACACGTGCTCCATCAGGTACTTCCACACGTCCGGCAGCTCACCCACGCACAGCCTGAAGGACCGGCCGCGGGGCGTCAGAGGTCACCGGGCGGCCGCGGGGCGTCAGAGGTCACCGGGCGGCCGCGGGGCGTCAGAGGTCACCGGGCGGCCGCGGGGCGTCAGAGGTCACCGGGCGGCCGCGGGGCGTCAGAGGTCACCGGGCGGCCGCGGGGCGTCAGAGGTCACCGGACGGCCGCGGGGCGTCAGAGGTCACCGGAGCGTCAGAGGTCACCGGGCGGCCGCACGGCACAGGTGCCGGGACAGACGGGACAGCAGGACGGCCGACGTTCGGTGAGGGTAGGGCGGCAGGGGTTCGGGGAGGGTAGGGCGGCAGGGGTTCGGGGAGGGTAGGGCGGCAGGGGTTCGGGGAGGGTAGGACGGCTGGGGTTCGGGGGGGGGGGGTAGGACGGCTGGGATTCGGCCGGCACGGAAAGGAGAGCGCTTCATGGGCCGGATAAATCCGTTATCCATGGATCCATGGACCGGAAAGGATTGAATCTCAAATTTGGAAAAAATAGAACAGAGGCCAGTTTTACCAACAAAAAAATAGCCGCCTGCCGGAATGTTTTGCCTAAAGACCGCTTCACATTAGGAGCATTAACGCAATGGGCACGTAAGCGGATAGGGCTTTACCGTTTACGCTCCGTATGTGAAGCGGTCTTTAGGCAAAAAAAAATCCGGCAGGCGGCTATTTTTCTGTTGGTAAAACTGGCCTCAAATCTGGGCGGTCCGGATTTCGGAATTGAAGGTTGAACACGAATCAGAGCGGATAAAATTATAGCATTCAATATTCACGTTTAAAATTAACTAATGATGGTCTATGATGGTCTTGAACTATGATGGTCTGTGAGACATATGGCTCTCTGGTCCCTTACAGTGAATTTGTGATAGTCTCACAAGCAGTCTTTGATGAAACGGATTATTATGGATATTTTTTGGATGTTTGGCTGAAATATGGGCCATGGGCTGGCCGGATTCTGAAATTTAAAGAAAGGCGGTTAATGGGCGGACCTGGATATGACCTGGATCATAGACCACAATAAACGACTGTGCACTGATATTTGCCGACTGCCATTAGAGCCCTGCTGGGAAATTCGACGTAGCACGCGGAATTGTGTGTTGATGCTCTAGTAAGCCCATTTAAATGAAAGTAACTACTTAAGTGTGATGTATATTTTAATAAGTGCTGAATTTATAGCATGATTTTCAACAAGATAAATAAATAAAAGCACTTAAAGGCGGGTATAACACTGTATTCAGTGCAAAACATCGATAAACAGGAACCATCCGTGATCGGTCGTTTTGACAAGGAACAGTCTGATCGCATATTGGACGCACTGCATATTTATTTGCTAATCTAAATCAGACAAGCACCCTGGCACAATGTTTTGGCACTTGGGCCTAGCGCAGCCCACACGATCTGCACCACGGAATTGCGAAGATTCCTTTAGATAAATTACAAAGCTGTCGGGGCTGCGTGTCTAGCGAGATCGAGGTGACCTGCTTCCACTGAGGCCGATTTCATGTTCAGCTTAGCGACAGATGGGTTCTATCCTCTGTCCTTCTCGAGAGAAGGGGACTTGAACCCCGTTGTCAAGTGGCCGCATTTTGGCGGGTGATGGCGATCGAGATTGGAGATTTAGGCGGAGTCATGAGATGTCGGTTCACTGGACAGTGCAGCAGAGCTTCGCAGTCGGGAATATACTTCCTTATAGTTATTGTGCTACATTTGCCTTTAGTTACTATACAAGTTGTATATCCACAGGTGAAATTCTCAGCCATGTAGATATCTTACGCATCGACGAATATGACTGCAGTTAATGATTGCATGAACGAAATTATCCGCGAAATGTTGCATTGCGTTTACTTCCTGTGGCTCAATCTTTCTCATTTTCATGAATCTTTCTCATTTTCATGAAGCTCTGCTCGCGCATCGCTATCGTTGAGTGGCGGTATTGCCCATGAATTGCAATGTTTGTTTTTCGAAAGTCGAGATGTCTTGAAGCACACGTTTGGGGCTACGTGTGCCGAAGAGAGAGCGACTCGGTAGCTGTGACCAGAGCAGGACTCATGGCTTTCATGCAGGAACAGAACACAGATTGCTGATGTGGGCACGCCGGCCCTCCGCAAGCAATACGATCTGAAGTGCTGGACCATCACTTGACGAAATTGCATGACTTGATAACTCGTTTGGCTTCATTGTGTGACTGATTATAGGAGCTGCCAGTATCTGGAAACATGTGCAGCATGTTTGCATGCATGCATTCCCTTAACCCGCGCCCCACTGGGGGGGGGGGGGCAGATCTGCCCCCTCCCGTTTTTCGCCAATAACGTCTAAACGCGTTACGCCAGCGACGTCAAACTTTCAGTACCTTATCATACATGGATTTAACACGTTCCCTGGAAATTTGAGCGAAATCCGTCGGAAAATCTTTGAGAAAATGACGTTTAAGAGTGACATCATGTCACGCCATTTTCGCCTCAAAAACGGCAAAACTTCGAACCCCGCTAACATCGTCATTTTTAAAGGAATCAAGACGTAACAAAAAAGGTTATACGTGATTCTACTTTGTCTATGAAATGGCTATCTCGGTTTTTTTGCAAATTTTGGATTTTGGCTCAATTTTTTAACCGACTTTTTGGGGAAAATAATTATAAAATCCAAAAATTTGAGTGTATCAAACAAAACCGGAATATATGTCAGAGAAGTGGTTCATGTGCACCAACATCCCAATTTTTTGAAGAATTGGTTAAAAAATGTGGGAGTTATTCAAAATTGTATGACGTCAGACACAAATTTTTTGAAAAATGATTTTTTTGAAGTTTTAAACCTCGTACGGAAACAAAAATAGCACCATTCGATTCACCGTCAAAAACTGCATCAGATAGACACCTTTTTAGGTCTTGACAACCAACTTCAAAATTTGACCTCACTTGACCTGACCTCGACCTAAAATTCATCCAGATGTGGTCCATATCACTTATTGAGTGTGTCCGTTGAATTTTAAGTCAGGTCAAAAAAGGTCAAATTTCAAAGCTGATATTTTTGCATAAAATGCGTATTGATTCGATGCAGCTCGTCACGGGGAGTCTAATGGTGGTCTTTGTTTTGCGCTACGAGGTCTAGAATTGCTAAAAATTGAGTTTGAAAAATTTGACGTCATCAATTTTGAACATGAATTTTTGAACATCAAATTTGAAATCTGGTGGAGGTCAGGTCACTTTGACCTGACCTTCACCAGAAAGTGACCGAAACCGTACCTGATGGTCTTATAACCAACACCATTGAGTTGGAAATGAAAAACTGACCATACCTAAAACATGCATCGCACAACCTTAGTAAAGTTGGGTTCATGTGGTGACCCTTGGTGACCTTTGGTGACCTGACCTGTGACCTGACCTGGTATGACCAGCAGGGCTGCGGAGTCGGAGTCGGAGTCGGAGTCGGTCGGAGTCGACAGTTGTGACCGGAGTCGGAGTCGGAGTCGGAGTCGATATTGGAAACCCCAGCCGGAGTCGGAGTCACTCAGAGTCACCGAAAATCTGTCGACTCCGCAGCCCTGCCAGGTGTGCGGAGTCGGAGTCGGGTGTTGGAGTCGATCGGAGTCGACATTTCTGCCCGGAGTCGGAGTCGGAGTCGGAGTTGGTTTTTGAAAGCCGGAGTCGGAGTCGGAGTCGGATTCGCCGTAAATCCATCGACTCCGCAGCCCTGAATTGACCAGTGACCTCTAATAGCAACATATGTACTAGACAACTGGCGCCCTATCGCTGATTTTCGACAAAATGCGTTTTACTCGGTGTTATAGCGCTTTCCCTAGAAGCCCCGTGATCGTGAACGGTGAAACATTTTATCTTTGACCTGACCTGTGACGTCATCGGTGACCCCGAGGTCAATGAAATTTGGTTTCCCTCCACAAATTTGACAGGGCTATCGAACGCCGTTTGAATTTTACGGATCCGTCCAGTAGTTTCGGAGATACGGGGGGGGGGGCAAAAAATGTCCCCTCCCCCCACCGCGCGGAGGGTGGCCGGGAGGCCCACCGCCTGCCGGGTTAAAGAAATTGGCAAAACACGTCCTTTATTTTTCAATGTTTGCGCTATTATTACTAAGTTTTTGCCCAAAGTAAGATATAAGAAAGACTACAAATTGACTAGAGGTGTTGCTTCCCAAAGTACATTATCATATGGCGAATGATTTGGCTGTGATACGCGTTTGAAAGTCAGGGCCCTAATGGCAGGTCCCTAATTTCTGTGCACAGTCCAGGTATATAGTGGTCTATGCCTGGATATATTAGTAAAGTAACATGGGATATGACTTGCAGGATATGGGCCGGGCTGGATCCTGAAAAGCCTACCTATCCGTGAAGTGTTCTAACGGAAAGGCTGGGAGGCTCAGTGCAAGTGTCACACTGGCGCCGTTGCCGTGTTCTGAAGATGACAGTTTGACACGCTGGGATTATTGGAAACATGTCACATCAAATACACATCAGAACAAACAAACCCTATGGGCACCGACAATTAGCCTGCATTGGAATATACGCTCGCACTACGCTGGGTTGAAGGCACCGCTAGGCTCAGCCCGGGAGGGACGCTGGGAGAAGGCACCGCTAGGCTCAGCCCGGGAGCTGCGCATGTGGCGCCGCCGGCGTTGGCAGAGGACCGGCTGGCAGACTCACTCGGCGAGGTTCTCGGGCGAGGGGATCGTCCGGTAGCCGTCTGCGCCGCTGGCGTCGTACTCCATCTCGTTCATCAGCCACACGTGCAGGTCGTGCGACATGGTGCGCGCCGCCGCCGCCGCCGCCGCCGGCATGGCCGCTGCTCTGCCAACCGCACAGATCGATTTTCAGGTGAGCTAAAAATGGACTGATTGATACCTACATAGACTGATAGCATGTCACAGAGGCATGAGGTATGACACCATCTAGGTAGGGGTCTCATATCTCATTTGTCAGATAGAGCATAAATGAAATATTGCCCAAAAAAAGTCAGGGGATAATTAGTGGTCACCAATAACAAGTGCCGTTGTGACTTTCTGTCGACCGACTGATGATCTCATGATTACCCTGAGGTCAGTCAGCAGCCCTGGATTATCTAAGGAGTGACCCAAACTAGTGCCTGGTTACCTAACTGATATGTAAATCTAGGCCAAGTACATAAAAAACTAAATTAAGGAATCATTTCTACTAAAACAATAACAATACATCTATTCTTGAGGCCTCTTCTGCAGCAATTGATGAATTTATAAAGCAAGTTTTAACATTTAGTATAAATGTTTACTAATTTTTCAACAAACCTCAGAGTTGTGCCACAAAACACTGGAGGTGCTCACCACTGCCAATGTTGCAAAGCCCCAGCCACTAATACTTCGGCTACCCTGGCTACTGGGAACTGCAGTACCTGCTCACCACTAACTGCTAAAGCACATGTTGGGTAGGTGTATGTGTGTTCTGTTCTTCCTCTGTTCTGTACTACTTCAGTACACACATGGCTCTGGATGCGGTCCTCGCTGTATTTCTGGCCTCGAGCAACAGAACACCATAATGCACCACTCTCCGTCACGATACCACCGGCCTCCACGCACGCACTCGGCGGACTCGAGCACCAGACTCCCGGTCCCGCTGCACGATCAGCTGATCGCTCTAATGGACGGAGACAGCGGACCCTGGCGGACGGCGGCCGAACTACCGGAGCTAGATGTCACTACTGTACAGGCCAGCTCCCCGCCGTCTACATACTCCGCTGTGTCAAGAACATAACAATTCCTCTTCCCTTAGCTTTTTAAGTTCTACCCCCTACATAATCCGCACTGTTCATACGATAATAATGCATTTGCGACACAACATACCCCGTTGGCACAGCGACAGTATCTTTCAGACCCAAAACTGATACGCGGAATAAAACTAACAAAAAACAATCCATGAACAATCCAACACTCGCCATTTACTTGACAGGTTCACGTAGATCCATACCAGTCCGGAGGTCGGAGTCGAGATCGGTCACGGAGCGCATACCGATGTGCACCAGAAACCGACTGTCCCCCGGAGTCACCAGCTGTAGCCGCGGAGCTCGGAATAACCGCGTCGCCACGGTCTCCTTCCTCCGTATGATGACCTCCCACCGGCTTGTTCAGCTCTGCAGTAGGCTCGGATACGTTACTGCTGGCGTCTTTCTTCCTTTCTTCTGTTTCCATATTCCTTTCGTCCTTCTTCTGTTTCGTTTGTTCGTCCACCTTCTCCGCTTGATTTGTCTTCTTTGACCACTGTTCTTTTTGATCGGTTTCGTCTTCTCTTCTTCCTTCGTAGTTTCTTTCTTCCTCCTCTCTCGGTTGTTTCGTTTGGCGTAGTCTTTCTTCTTCTTCGTTCAGCTGTCTCGGTCTTCTGTCTTCCTGGCTTTCAGCTTCATTCTTGCTTTCACGACCTCGTATGTGATCGATATGTCGAGTGAACACCCGACCATCGTCCAGCTTCAGTTCGCACAGCTGACTGCGGACGGACGTTACGACTGCAGCATGCCACCTCGGCTCTCCTCTTCCCACTTCCGAGACGTACACAGAGTCACCAATCTTGAATTGACGAGACTGTGCCTTCTTCCTCAGGATTTGCTGGTCTTGCTGAAACTCGACTGTGCTTCGGAGGTCTGGGAAAACCAGATCGAGGTGCGTTCGGAGTTTCCGGCCCATCAGCACTTCAGCTGGCGTCTGCCTGGTTGTTGAATGCGGCGTCGTTCGGTACTTGAACAGAACGCGCGTCAGCCGAACTTCGAGTGTGCCTTCCACATACTTCTTCAGTCCTTCTTTCACCACTTTTACTGCGGCTTCCGCCTGTCCGTTTGATGACGGATGGTACGCTGGGGTTCTCAGATGTCGAACTCCATTTGCTCGCAGGAACGCCGCGAACTCGCCACTGGTGAATGCGGTGCCATTGTCAGTTACCACCACTGACGGCAGTCCGTGCGTTGCAAATGTTACTCTCAGCTTGCTGATGGTTGCTGTTGCAGATGGTGTTGACGTCACATGAGCGTCGATCCACTTGCTGGTGCTATCTACAACAATCAGCAGCCATTTTCCTTCTATTGGTCCAGCGTAGTCGAGATGAAGTCGGGTCCATGGCCGATCTTCAAATCTCCATGGTCGCATTTCTACCGGCGGTGCTGAGCTGCGATGCTGTTGACAGCGCTCACAGCACTTGACCGTGTTCTCGATGGCGTTGTTCATTGCTGGCCACCAGACTGTCGAGCGTGCAGTCGCCTTCATCGCACCGATTCCAGGATGACCATCGTGTAGCAGCCGAAGAAGCCTGCCTTGCAGCTTCTCTGGAACCACCACACGGTTCCCCCAGAGAAGACAACCCATCTCCAGGCTGAGTTCTGTCTTCCGGTTCTGGAAGGATTTCAGCTGGTCCTCCACTTTGTCTGGCCATCCTTGAGCAACATGCGTCATGACTTTGCTCAACACCGGATCTGTAGCCGTGTACTTGCGGATCTGCTCAGACTTCAGCAGCGTCTTCTCCAGTGTCTCCAGCATCATGACTGTTTCTGCTGGTACTGGCGGCGTGGCATCATCCTCCAGAGGCAGCGGATTACGACTGAGTCCGTCGCTGTTCCGCTGTTTGTGAGCAGGCGAGTACACCAGAGTGTACTGATATGCTGACAGGATCGTTCTCCAACGAAGAATCCTGGGTGACGTCATCAGCGGTAGCTGCTTGTCTGGTCCGAGCAGAGCCAGTAGCGGACGGTGATCTGTCTTGATGGTGACGCCCGCTCGGCCCAGCAGGAAACTGTGCCATTTCTTCACTGCGAAGACGATGGCCAATCCCTCTCGGTCCAGCTGACTCCAGTTCCGCTCTGTGCTGTTCAGCGAGCGTGACGCATACGCCACTGGACGTTCTTCGCCTGCCTCATCCACTATGGAGAGAACTGCCCCGACTCCTACCGGACTGGCGTCAGCTGACACCACCAGCGGAGCGGAGGCTCGGTAGTGAGTGAGGCATGGAGCAGAGCAGAGTAGCTCCTTCGTCTTGTTGAAGCTGGCTTGTTGCTGTTTTCCCCACTCCCATACTTGACCCTTTTTCAGGAGTCTGTAGAGTGGTTCTGCCACCGTTGATAGGTTCTTCATGAACTTGTTGTAGTACATGATTAAGCCCAGGTAGCTTTTCAGTTGGTGAACATTCGTTGGTGCAGGAGCTTCTTTGATCGCCTTCAATTTCTCCTCTGTAGCATGGATCCCTTGGCTGTCCACTTTGAACCCGAGGTACTGCACCTCTGACTGGAACCATGAACACTTCTTTGGGTTCAGGCGCAGACCTGCATCATGCAGCCTCCTCAACACCTCTTCCAGGTTGCTGAGATGCACCTCTTGGTTTTTCCCTGTGATACACACATCGTCGAGAAAGACTACTGTGTGTGGTATCCCTGCCAGCAGACTCTCCATGTACCTCTGGCAGATAGCTGGGGCTGAGGAGACCCCATACTGCAGCTTCTGGGGCATGAAGAGGCCTTTGTGAGTATTGATTACCATGTACTTGCGACTCTCTTCCTGAAGCGGAAGCTGGAGATAGGCCTCCTTCAGGTCCAACTTTGTGAATCGCTGACCACCCGACAACTGGGTCAGAAGCTCCTCAGTGCGAGGCATTGGATACCGTTCCAGCCTGCTTGCCTGATTCACTGTCAAATCATAGCTTCCACAGAGTCGGACTGACTTCTTGTCTGGTTTGACGATTGTCACTACTGGGGCTGCCCACTCTGAGTGTGAGACAGGCTCCAGCACTCCCTTCTGTACTTGTCGGTTGATTTCATCTTCCACCAGTTGCTTCATTGCCAGAGGAACTGGTCTTGCTTTGTAGAACTTGGCTGGCATTGTTTCATCCACTTGCAGTCTTGCTTCAAAGGTGCAGGTACTTGGTTTGTCTGAAAACAAGTCTGCATACTTGTTCATGAGCTCTTGAACTTGCCAGCTCCCTCCTTCCTCTGACTGAACCACACTGATGAGTCCTGTCAGATCCAGTTGGAGAGCAGAGATCCAATCTCTTCCCAGCAGAGCAGGACCATCTCCTTCCACCAGCAGTAGATCCAGGTCTTTTCTCTGTCCATTGATCTCCACTGTGACGTTCACTTTGCCCTTCACTTTCAACTGCTGTCCTCCATATGATCTGAGGATTACACTGGTGGGTTCCATCTTCTTACTCATCTTCATCTTCTTGAAGCTGAGGTAGCTCATGATAGAACGGGCTGCTCCAGTATCCACATCCATGGTGACTGGTTCATTTTCCAGAGTTACAGCCACTTGATATGAGGGTTGTGCCTTTTCTGCCATGTGATACATGTCATACACCTCTGGTGATTCATTCACGGTATTCACCTTCCTCTCTTCCATCTTCGTCTTCTTCCCTGGGTTCCTGCACATGGCTTTTGTGTGACCTTTCTTCCCACACTTGTAGCACTCTCTTGTTTTGTAGAAGCAGTTTTCACTCTTGTGATTTGAACGTCCACACCTGTAGCAGCTTTCTGCCTCACCTGGGCTGTGAGTTTTCTTCTGTTGGTTGTGCGGACCCTTGTTGATTCGGTGAATCATCTCTGGCTTCTCTTGCACTCGATCCAGACTGAGATGTTCCACTTCTTCTTGTGCTTTTTCATGAAGTCGTGCAATGTTGACTGCTTTCTCAAGCGTTAGGTCAGGCATGCCCAAAAGCTTCTCCTGCAGCCTTGGATAACCACATCCAGCTACAAGTCTGTTTCTCACATGAATGTCCTTATCCTGAAATGAACATTTTCTTACTTGTGAGCGTAGACGAGCCACGAAAGTCTCCACTGATTCTCCTTGTTCCCTTTTCAGCATCTGGAATTGAACTTCTTCAAACACTTGGTTTGACTTTGGCTTGAAATAGCGTTTCAGCTGTTCAACTGTCACTTGGAACACATCCAACTCTTCCTCTTCCACTGTTGGCAGAGTTTCATATATTTCTTGCATTTCTGGGCCCAAAAGATGCAGCAGCAGTCCCTTTTTCCGTTCAGGCTCAACGGCTCCTATCGCTAAACAATAGTACTCAAGTGATTTCATCCAAACTTCAAAATCTTCACCCTTTCTGAACTGTCTGACACTGGGCAAATAGGGCGCAGCCATCTTTGTTTACTTTTTCTCTGATCAGCTGATCAGCTGTTCACCTTGACCCGTACGTTCCTCCCCTTTTCATTTGAGAGTGGACTCGTCCAATGCCGGAGGCGGTGGCGGCGACGGCTCTCGTCTAGCGTGGTTCCTTGCAATTCTTCCAAAATAATCCTCGTCGCCAATTTGTTCTGTTCTTCCTCTGTTCTGTACTACTTCAGTACACACATGGCTCTGGATGCGGTCCTCGCTGTATTTCTGGCCTCGAGCAACAGAACACCATAATGCACCACTCTCCGTCACGATACCACCGGCCTCCACGCACGCACTCGGCGGACTCGAGCACCAGACTCCCGGTCCCGCTGCACGATCAGCTGATCGCTCTAATGGACGGAGACAGCGGACCCTGGCGGACGGCGGCCGAACTACCGGAGCTAGATGTCACTACTGTACAGGCCAGCTCCCCGCCGTCTACATACTCCGCTGTGTCAAGAACATAACAATGTGCAAGGCTTGGTGCAAGGTAAGGTAGGTATGTGCGAGGTTAGGTGGAGTTGGATTAATTGAAACTGATTAGCTACGTATATTTAATGGAATAACCTTCAGTGCAAAATTCTAAAATTGCCAAAAGCTACAAAAAAAAACTTTTTGTTTTTGTAGCCTTTGAAATTTTAAAAATTTGAACAGGTTACCTAGATTCCATTAACCCGCGTCGGGCCAAGGGGTCTTTGAACACCCCCTCCCCCTTCGGTTTTCGAAGATATCTCAAAATCGGCAGTGCTCACATCTTTTCAGAACATTTTGCAAAAATTTCGGACCCAGGGCTCCCAAGGTCAGGTCACCACTCACCCGGGCCCTGTTTCACCGGTGATAGCAGCACGCTGCTATCAAATTATCAAATTGCGCAAGCTGACGTAATGTGATGACGTCACACTGACGTTTCATGTAATCCGTGAGCTTTTTTATAGCTGCGTTTGGAATCGAGTTGCTGTGTCGTTGAATGTGTTTGCACAATTGTTTGATCGCACGGCCGTGAATGTGTTAACAGCAATATTTGATGACATCACACAGACTGACAATGTCATGGTTTGTTGATGTTTCCATGGAAACCCAATTTGACATGTGCAATAGCAGTGTGCTGCTATCACTGGTGAAACAGGGCCCAGGTCAACTCAAGTGACCTCACCTCAGAAAAAGTTTCAATCCTTGTCATAGCTACACCAACTGAACGATCGCCTTAAAACTGTCAGCGATTGATAAGAGTAACAACACAGTCGGGGAGGTTTGGTCAATCGTCATTTTTAGCACATGCCATTTTTAGCAAACATGTGCCAAAAATGAACGCTATCAGCTATTTTTGGCAACTATGAAGCCGATTTCACTCCTCAGCGAGGAAATCACGATTTTGGAGATACAAGCATTGATTTTGGAAAAGAAGTGCTGCCACCTGATGCAAGAAGAATAAACCAGCTTTAATATGGCCATTGTTTGTACTTTGTATGGTAGGTAGTCCAACGTTGACGTATACCCTTTTTTGTGGCCTGAAGTTGGAACTTCAATTTGCAGCATCCGAAAATGATCAATATTGATTGAAAACATAAATTTGATGAACAAAGAATATGTTAAGTTGAAAGAGGAGGCAATTTCATCCAGATGCAGTGGTTTACTTCTTGAAATTATTTTTGTTTATGATGACCGGCATGCAATGACAGATAATGCGCTGCCGTCAAGTAACAAAATATTTTCAAGAAGTAAACCACCACATCTGGATAAAATGACCTCCTCTCTCAACTTAACATTTTATTTTTTCATGGCCTAAGGGCCTTCAAAATTATCATGCATCATAAGTAAGTAAGTACCTACCTACCTACGTAAGTTAGTAATACATCAATCAAACACGGCCTCTTGTTTTGATCGCTCGATGACAATAAAATGTTTTAATTTCGAAATTTACGAAAATGTTTTGGAAAATGCCACGACTCCGAAAATCTAACGCCCCATACACCACCCATACACGGACACGCCTAAGAGCTGGACTTTTTGATGACGTCTTCGGGTGACGTCATGTCCTGTGTGACGTTTCGTGAGCAGGTAAGGAAAAGTCACCACCGCTGGCGAACATTGGTGCGGTAAATGGCAAACACAAATGCTGCGCAGAAAAGACAAATGTGTAACTTAAGACAACATTCGTTCGGACGACAATGTCAAGGCGAATATCAAGAAGTTCTTCATGCGATTGTTAGTTATCTGTCGTGCTATTTTAGTATGATTGTTATTAGCAGTTGATTCGTGAAATGTATTATCAAAATCAATGTTTATTGAACGCAGATTCAGTTTATTTTCAGATGTACCTAGGTACCCTTACACTTTACTCATCTCAAGCTGTTCAAACACCCTTGACAAAGTCGATTAAGATGAAACGTTGGGTATAATTTATGCTGTGTTTTCTCTGCATTATTCACATATTCATCATATATACAATATAAGGGCCACATGCTTTTTACAGGGAGACATGTCAGACAGCCCAGTAGGATGAGGCTTCGTCAAGCGTCATTTTTAGCAAAGCTTTTCTTGCTTAAAATCTAGTCTGCAAAACATGGCAGGGCTTACACTTTGGCTTACACTTGACTCCCAGCTGTTGTGTCTTTGCTATGCGATGTTAAACATATAAAACATCTTACTATTCATGTATGCGCCATGACTCATGTAATCTTTTCACAGCCAAGACGCTCCTAAGGTACTGGGAATGTGGGGAGTGCAGCAGCATCAGTGCAGCACCAATGGTCGGATGCGACGGCTGCGATAAATGGTACCACTTCCATTGTGCGGGACTGACTAAGGAGCCAGGTAAGCGCAAATGTTTTCTGTCTCAGTATTTTTGTTGCAGCTATAGTGATCAATGAAATATTTTCCGCACTGTTCAACCAAACATGTATTTCAAACAATCTGCCTCCCAACCAAGGGCGTCGCAACAGGGGGGGGGGACGGAGGGGATCTCGTCCCCTCCACTTTTTAAAATTTCAACATTACGCCTATGGCGTTGCATGGAAAGAATCGACTTGAAATGGTCCTCGTCCCCTCCAAATTGGTCAATGTCCCCTCCAGTCGTCGCACCGTGGCGTCGCCCCTGTTCCCAACTACACAAATTTATTCAAACAATGTGCCAATATGGAATTTTCAGGTTCAGTTGAATGAAATAGGAACAATGATAATTGTGGATTACGTATACCTGCAAGAGAGGAAAACAGAATGCATTGTATTGCTTGTCCTTCACCGATGCTGTTATTTTTCCATTTCTAGAAACACCGACATGGCGATGCAGGTGGTACTGCCTGGTGAGGCCGCAGTCTCCGGAATCGCCTGCAGACGAAGTCACCTGGCATCCATCTGCACATCACTTGCAGCAGTGAGGCCTGCTGACAGCGTCTGGCAGTGTCGGCAACGTGCCAGACAGCTATCTGGAGTCCTGCTCACCGCAGGTCGCCGACAGGAGGGGCGACGCATCGTCTCCGAGGTCGCCTCAGCAGCAGTGAGACCCCACTGGCCGTCTTCTTAGGCTTCAACTATAGATTGCGAACAACCTATGCTGAGACAACGCCCATGACGTGTGATCCGGTACCGCTACCGCACTGCGTGCCTGTGCCCGCCGTGAGCCGCTAGTGCATGGGTTCGACCATGAGAATATGTGTTTATGTTGCTTTTACTATTGTTTGTACGTTGAAGTGACGAATTGTTTATTTTTCGCAAGCTTCCGCTGTCCGGTTGCCTGCAGCTCCATGCAACGCCAGCTGTACTGTTGTTTTAATGTTGTCTCTCCGCTCAGCTGTACTGTTGCCTCTCCGCTCATAGCAACTTATGCTGATTGCTGAGACAACGCCCATGACGTGTGATCCGGTACCGCTACCGCACTGCGTGCCTGTGCCCGCCGTGAGCCGCTAGTGCATGGGTTCGACCATGAGAATATGTGTTTATGTTGCTTTTACTATTGTTTATACGTTGAAGTGACGAATTGTTTATTTTTCGCAAGCCTCCGCTGTCCGGTTGCCTGCAGCTCCATGCAACGCCAGCTGTACTGTTGTTTTAATGTTGTCTCTCCGCTCAGCTGTACTGTTGCCTCTCCGCTCATAACAACCTATGCTGAGACAACGCCCATGACGTGTGATCCGGTACCGCTACCGCACTGCGTGCCTGTGCCCGCCGTGAGCCGCTAGTGCATGGGTTCGACCATGAGAATATGTGTTTATGTTGCTTTTTATACTATTGTTTATACGTTGAAGTGACGAATTGTTTATTTTTCGCAAGCCTCCGCTGTCCGGTTGCCTGCAGCTCCATGCAACGCCAGCTGTACTGTTGTTTTAATGTTGTCTCTCCGCTCAGCTGTACTGTTGCCTCTCCGCTCATATATGACACCCTCTATATGAATGGCACTACTGATTGTCACACCCACTGCCCGTATTGTCCGTAGTGGTGTCTACGCCCATGTTAATACAGCGTGCAGAATCCAGATTCTATTGAGGAGAGTTGAGCCAAGTCACCATAGGCTCGGGAAGAGAGCAACGTGGAGGCCCACTGCCCCTTCCCCGGCCCCCACTGGGGGCGCCAGCCACTCCAACTTTTGACTGGATGTCAAGAGCGTCGCCACGAGGGGAACGAGTCGCCGGCCAGCCAAGGTAGCCAACGGCGTGTGAAGGTTGCCTGATCTCGAGGAAACTGAGATGGCACCAACGGAGGTTTTGTTAAGTAGGCGACCAAAATTCGAGCGGCAGCAACCTGGGCACCTTCACAGATAGCTCATAGCAGTGCCGCGTATCAGTGCGCCTTCGACGTTGAGCTGGGCGCCGATCATCAGGACGCCGGGGGAATATGACCCAATATCCCCCGTAAATATGTGCCTCGGAAGGGAGACCCAACCATAAAACTGAAAGCTCGCCGTATCTTATCCACTATTTTTCGAGCAGGTCCATAGATTTCCGTCCTCAAAAGTGCGGGGATATTCCCCAGTGTTTGAGTTGGATGGGACTATAGTGGCGTTTACACCGACAGGAGATTCCCATTGCCGGCTGTGGGAAACTACTGTCGGTGTAAACGCCATTCATATTTCCTGCGTCACCCCTGTGGGGACGCCCTTACTCCATGGTGCCGAGCTTATCAATTTGGATATCAATGGAATCAAAATCTCTTATCGATCGATGAAGAACTAAATTACCCCGACCCGGAGAGCGTCTTTGGAATCAAAGCAGTAGCACATGACGCAAGACTTCAGGCAAATAAATCCTTCTTGTCTAAAATAAAACATTTGTGTATTGATAAGCACGTTTTATAAGCAATGGTAGCAAGATTCTCCATGTATTTGGTTACAGTGATAATTTAGTAGCAGATACTTACCGTCGCATTTCGTTTTTTTTATTAATAATTTATATTGTCAGAACTAGCAACATGTCTCTTCACTCAACAATAATTACAAAAGTGAAAAAGAAATGATAAATTGCTTATATTTTGGTGAAACTAAAAATTAATTCAGCACATATTTTGTTTTACAGCGTTGAAGTCCAGCTCCAAAGGACAGCTGACGATCGTAGCCGGCGTATATATCTTTCCCGAGCGAAAAAAACAAACATTCCAGTTTTTTGGCGCTTTTGTTTCAATTATGGTGGTTCTGTTCGAAGGCTCATACAGATGGTGTTTGCGCAAAATTTCTAACGGAAAATCACCGACTATTTAGTGTCGACAGCTGCATATTAACTTTTTGAACACGCCTCCATCACTGCTTGTTTATTGGCTGTCCGTGGTATTGGGATTTGGGCTGTGTTGCTGTATATACCGTGTGTTGATGGGTGATTGTGATAATATTCTGATGATTAACCTTTTTATTCAGCGGTAGAGACCCACAAGTTGACTCCATTATAAATATTGTCTCTTTATCATGAAACAGACTCAGAAACCTTGGCATGAATGCTCTCAGGCTCTCAAGAGAATGTTGAAATTCAGGTCTCAAAAGATTAAAATTACAATAATGAAATGTTTCACCTACCTTCCAAGCCATAAACACTCATATTGGTACTGGATGGAACTTAAAATAAAAAAGAGGGGTGGATAATTAGGGGTTTGTAGCACCCCCTGGGATTTTCCACCAATGAAGTAGGTACCTATATGCTGCAGAGACCAGGGCCCTGTTTCACCGTTGATAGCAGCATGCTACTATCAAATTGCGCGAGCTGACGTAATGTGATGAGGTCACACTTATGACGTTTCGTGTAATCTGTGAGCTGCGTTTGGAACAGAGTTGCTGTTTCGTTGAATGCGATGTGTTTGATCGCACGACCGTGAAGCTGTTGGCAGCAATGTTTGATGACATCACACAGATTGACGGCGTCATGGTTTGCTGATGTTTCCGTGGAAACCCAATTTGACACGTGTGATAGCAGCGTGCTGCCATCACCGGTGAAACAGGGCCCAGAATAGCATGGTCTGTGTTGCACATATTGATGCTGAAGCTATACCTACAAATGTCTTTCAGATAACCTACTGAGTGTTCACATTCATCACAAATGCAGTCATTCTCCGGTATATTACATCTGATGTGCTGGGCATCATCAATGTCAGGTATGCACCCTTTACTTTTTTCCTATCATGCATCAGTGATGCATCCAATGTCTGAGTTCCTAAGTAGAACATATGCTATTTTCTCACCAGAACTGTAGTGTGTACTCCATAAGAAAAATGCTAATTTTGCTGAATTTTGCTCTGAATTTGCTGAAAAATGCTGAAGCAGTTGCTGACGGAGGGCGAGCGCTACCTGATGACCGCCTTCCACCTGCTCGACTTCTCCGAGCAGGGCCTGTACGACGTGGTGGCCAACCTGGGCAGCCTGGCGGCCCGCTTCCTCTTTCAGCCAGTCGAGAAGAACGCCTACGTCTACTTCTCGCGCACAGTGGAACGGGGAAAGGTAGGTGGCAACGTGGCTGATTGTGTGGTAGGAGGTGATTGATGTTAGTTTTTTTTTGTGTTTT